GGGGGGGGGGGGGGGGGGGGGGGGGGGGGGGTGGGGGGGGGGGGGGGGGGGGGGGGGGGGGGGGGGGGGGGGGGGGGGGGGGGGCGGGGGGGGGGGGGGGGGGGGGGGGGGGGGGGGTTGAGCGGTGGGTGCTTGTGAGGTGTGTAGTTGTGACGTGCGCTGTTGTGAGGCAGGTGGGGTGGCATGTGGTAAATAATTACACGTTTGTATCCTACCAAAGAGCACATTCCCCAGTGACTGCACTTACCTGATATCAATGGCATCACCGCTACAGTCTTAACGAACCGGTTGAGTGTGACGCATTGCGGCGGGTCGTGTTCTCACATGAATGGTCGTCAATGAGAAACATTTTTAGATTCGTTCAATCGTGCAATCCTCATTCGCCCTCTGGTGTCTGAGAACACAAAACACTACTTCTCCTTATCGCAGTGGTTCTCAACCTGTGGGTCGCGACCCCTTTGCGGGGGGGGGGGTCGAATGACCTTTTCACAGGGGTCGCCGAAGACCATCGGAAAACACATATACTCTACAGTTACGACGTAGCAACGAAAATATTTTGGTTGGGGGTCGCCACAACATGAGGAGCTATATTAGAGGGTCGCAGCATTAGGAACGTTGAGAACCACTGCTGTCGAATATGGGAGGTCATAGATTCTTTCAGACTTGTCTGAATTTCAGATTTACAACACACCAATCCTCGTATCCGAAACTCGTTTCTGCACCATGTCTACGTGAATAGTCCACCATTTGGGTTGACGGAAATTACGTCAGACAAAATTTCAAATCAAAAGAATTCGTTTGCGTTATACTGTCTTGTTGTTTTTTAAATACCTATTGTTGGTCAGAATATATATTTAGGAAATTAAAATTTTAGACAAAACTTGAATGTGACTTCGAGGATTATATTCTTCAAGATTCTCCATTCTGTCTCGTTCCACCACAACCTTTTAGTTTGACAACGGCTGGAGAATGTTCTAAATTTAACTAAACTAATTTAAACACTACTCATTGATATGTGCCGACAGATTTTTCTTCTTTTTTTTTTTTTTTGGATCGATTTATTCGTGTGTACTCTTCAGTTTTTTGAAAGGTAAGGTTTTTGGGTGTGACTATTTAAAAATGCTTTTGTCGTGTCATTTCAAGGGAACATTGAAATTGGAATTGATATGTGCCGACAGATTTTTCTTCTTTTTTTTTTTTTTTGGATCGATTTATTCGTGTGTACTCTTCAGTTCTTTGAAAGGTAAGGTCTTTGGGTGTGACTATTTAAAAATGCTTTTGTCGTGTCATTTCAAGGGAACATTGAAATTGGAAATGATTGTGAGCGAAAAAGCGTTAGAATTGCAACCAAAAAAAACAACAACAACAAAAAACAACGTATCACGCGAATCCAACCCAACAGTGCAATTTGATTATCTGGGTCTGAACCGATTAAAATAACAGTTAGGAATTAAGACATATAAAACAAAAGAACTTTTTCTTAAATTATTAATTTTTTTTTTTTACATTTCTGTCTCTGATCCGTTATAAAAATCATTCTGTATTACAAAATAATAGCAATAATAGAATCCTTGTACTTCGTGGCCGAGAGTCACTTCAGACATTTTAATATTAATGTTTTTTTTTTTTTGTTTTTTTCATAACCTGAATTAGACAGTTAAGCTAAACATTCCTTTGTGATAGATGTATTCTGAAAAATATTTCACTTTTACACATTTGAAATTTAATATTGAAGTGTGTTTTAGATTCAAGTTTAATAACTTTTTAATGTAATTTTTTTTTTATTATTTCGAACGTGTGACGAATTTGGGAAAAGAAAGGGGGGGGGGGGTAAGATTTGTGACTGTTACGCACTGACTTGTATTGGGAGAAATTAATCTCCTATTTTAATTTTAATTGGCTCGTTGTAAGCAGTGCCTAACAAAGGACGATACCATAGAATCAACAATATTAAAGATACGACCCAAAACATTTTCTAGTTACAATTAATAATATTTATTAAGTCTTAAGATAATTACAAAAGAAAAGAAAATATAATGACAATCTTCAACTTACAGTATGGTAGATCTTGCACCGGTACACAGTTAACAACAGTTAGAATAATGTGCCAATAAATAATGCGAAATAAACACATATAAGCACACAAATACACAAAGAATAAAACACGCCTCGTAAAGTTAATAAAATCTATCTGAATCTCCGTCCTCCCCGAGCCTGTCAATCCCTTATATAGGTGGGTCTACCGACGCCCAAGCCCTGCCTTCGAGCAGCTACAAGGCATTTCTAGAACAATCAGATTCATTCTACAAAACATTACTTGGAACAGATTAATTTTTTTAGTAGTTGGCGGCATAAACACGATTAGATCAAAGACTAAGCCACACCCCTTTGTGAACACAGCGTCTCATGCGGGGTCAATCAGAGGGCATGCACAAGAAATATTATGTAAACAAGCTCTCTATAACAGTGACATATTGTGACAATAGAGAACTGGGGTAGATTTATTTCCATACATATTTTGACGTCCTTAATGGATGTCCTCCATTGTGTGTTAAGGACTACACAGAATATTTAGTATTCATTCCATACACGTTGCGACAGAAAGTGTCCCCTTGCAGATTAATATACCAACAAAGGTGTTTGGAATTTCACACCATTTTTTAAAAAAACAATGCCAAGTATGAAAAAAATCAAAACAAAAACTGATTGTCGGAAAAGGTCCCAAGCAAAAGAGATAACCTATGACTTGTCCACGGTATCAGAAGGAGCCTTCTGAAATACGTTTAAAGGCAAAATGAGAAATTATTTTTATTTTTAAAATGGGAAGGGGTGTTATCCTTTTATTATAGTGTGTTATGTTAAAATGGGGGGGGGGGGGGGTTTTTTTTTTTTTTTTGTGTTTTTTTTTTGGGGGGGGGGGGTATTTTTTTTTTTGTTGTGTTGTGATTTATTATTATTAATTCTTAATTTTGAAAAAAAAAATTCTGCTTTTCAAATGTACGAAATTAGCCCCAGATTATTAAAAACTAAATTTTACTTACTATAATTGACACTTTTTTTTAAAATATATATATACAAAATATTTGGTTTTGGTTTGAAATTTCCTAGTTTTTGGCTTCAAATTTCCTTGTTTTGGCTTGAAATTTCCTTGTTTTGGCTTGAAATTTCCTTGTTTTGGCTTGTTTCGATTTGTTTGGTTTTTGTTGTTTTTTTTTTGTTTTTGTTTTTTTTTTCTTTTTCTTTTCGTACTTTTTTTGGTTGTAATTGGTTGAGATGTGTCTAATAGAGATGTTAAACAATATTAGGGACTGGAGAAGAGGGGGTTGGGTGCAAGTCAAGAGATGTTATAATTTTTTTAAAATATATATATACAAAATATTTGGTTTTGGTTTGAAATTTCCTAGTTTTTGGCTTCAAATTTCTTTGTTTTTGTTTTAAATTTCCTTGTTTTGGCTTGAAATTTCCTTGTTTTGGTTTGTTTCGATTTGTTTGGTTTTTGTTGTTTTTTTTTTGTTTTTGTTTTTTTTTTCTTTTTCTTTTCGTACTTTATTTGGTTGTAATTGGTTGAGATGTGTCTAATAGAGATGTTAAACAATATTAGGGACTGGAGAAGAGGGGGTTGGGTGCAAGTCAATAGATGTTATACAGCGTTATAAGTGGGTAGACGTGGGTCAATAATGAAATATTTTGTCTTAAATAATGTTGGCACGCCCCTGATGACATAGCGTCACGGGGAGCAGAGCAGTACGGATGTTTGCAATACACTGTACCTATGGAAACCTAGTTCTACAGATATTAGCAATATACTGTACTTTTGGATACATAATTTTACGGATATTTGCACTAAGCTTTACTTATAGAGATATAGTTGTACATATATTTGCAATATGCTGTCTCATGTAGACATAGTTGTACAGATATTTGCACTATGCTGTGCTTATAAAGATATACTAGTACATATATTTGCAATCTGCTGTGCTTATAGAGACATATTAGTACGTATATTTGCAATATGCTGTGCTTATAGAGACGTATTAGTACATATATTTGCAGTATGCTCTACTTATAAAGACATATTAGTACATATATTTGCAATATGCTCTACTTATAGAGACATATTAGCACATATGTTTGCAATATGCTGTACTTATAGAGACATATTAGTACATATATTTGCAATATACTGTACTTATAGAGACATATTAGTACATATATTAGCAATATACTGTACTTATAGAGACTTAGTTGTACGTAGTCTCAGAGTTGCTTAGCTTCACGGTTTCAATATTCGATATTTAAAAATTAGTCTCTATAAAAAAGGTGTTTTTTTGTTTTTTTTGGGGGGGTGGGTTACTTAAAAATTGATGACATCTAAAATATGTGTACATAAATTATTATTTTTAATTGAGATGGGAAATCGAGCTTCAGAGTAGAGCAAAGGGTTTGCACAAACAGGAGTTGAACTCTTCCGTTAAACTGCTCTGTCCAGCCAGGGCGAGGCGTGTGTAGTTAACAAATTTTGGACAGTGTGGTGGGTGAAGACATGGTCGGGTGATTTTTGAATTCACGTGGGCGTAGTCTTTCCTGCGGCAAGCATGACACGTAAACATATTTTTATGACACTTAGATGTTTTATACATAACACATTCACGTATTTATATATTCATACTACAATGTATATTTGTATATAAAATATATATATATATNATATATTATATAAATAACAAATACACATATGATATACGTATGAATCTTTATTTATATACATATTATCAATAATTATATAATGTTTGGGCCACTCACAAAAAAGTGGAGACGGTTGCTTAGTATCACAGTTAGGGTCGGGGTGTCATGAAAGAGGGAAAATTTTATATCAACGATATTTGTAAGTGTGTATTGCAGCCATGAGACCAAACTTTGTATTTCATGACAATTCTATACATTTCATAAAACAAAAAATACTAGTATTTTGATTATGATGATAAAATACGAGTCTGGTAAAGACATCAAACGGAGATTAGAGTTTGTATAAACATCAATCTGAGATAAGATTTTGTATTGACATCAATCTGAGATAAGAGTTTGTAAGGACATCAATCTGAGATAAAATTATGAATTGACATCAATTTGAGATAAGAAATTGTATAGACATCAATCTGTGATAGTTGTAAAAAGTCCAGACACTAGCCGAAATGTCTAAGGGGAATGTTGGTTATATTCTATCTAACAACATATCTCTCGATAATCACATCTCTCACATGTGTTGCTCTGCATACAGCGCTATTCGTCAGATAAGCTCCATCCGCAAATACCTTACAGTTAGTGCAACAAAAACTCTAGTCTGTGCTCTTGTTCTCTCTCGTCTTGACTATTGTAATTCTCTTCTATCAGGTTCACCAAATCATTTCTTAGAAAAATTACAAAAGGTTCAAAACTCAGCCGCTAGGCTAATTCTAAAGGCAAGAAAACGTGATTACGTCACACCACTACTTCATTCACTTCATTGGCTCCCTATTCAAGCACGTATTGACTACAAACTCTCTGTTCTCTGCCACAACTTTTTTGTCGAAGTCCTCCCCTTCCTATCTAACCGAACTTCTCTCTGTCTATTCACCCCTTCGACAGCTTCGCTCCTCCGCAGACGCACATATTCTTTCTGTCCCAAAGACTCGCACAAAAACATACGGTGAACGATCGTTCTCTTTCTGTGCCCCCAAACAATGGAATTCTCTTCCATTACACATCCGCAATATACCGAACATCACAACCTTCAAAACTGTACTCAAAACATAACTCTTTAATCTCTACTATCCTGACTGATTCCCACCTCTGACCGAATAACGATGGCACTGAGTGTCATCCACGGCTTAAAATGTAAATAGTTTTAAATATACATTTGTTTTGTTTTATTTAATTAATGTATGTCAATTTATTTTTTAAAGTTTTTGATTGTTTGTTAAATTGTATGTACAGCGTGGGGAGCCTAGCCCTAGTCTGGGGTACCACGCTATATAAAACCACGTATTATAATAATAATAATAATAAAAATAATAATAATAATAATTTCTTTAGGGTGAATGTCAAGTGGGGAATATCTAAGGAGAATGTCTAAGGGGGAATGCTCTTTGACCAAACTTCCTGAATGCCAATCGTCGGCTGATGACAACAGTTTTACATTTAGCTACGAGGCACAGTGCTTAGATTACACTCTCAAGGAATTATGCTACTTACATACGACTCTCTCTCTCTCTCTCTCTCTCGCTCTCTCTCTCTCTCAAAGGTGATGTCCCTTTGTTTTAGCTAGATAAAATAGCCGAAAGTGTTCCACAAGACAGGGTTAGAGTACGGTGGATGCTCCCCACTCCCCACTGTCGTCATCCACCTGGGGCTGATGTGAGGATAAGATGACAATGTACTTCAGGAAAAGATCGATCTCTCTGCTGCTGATTGCCGTGACGTCGTTATTCCTAACCCTTTCCCTGTTCTACTGGAAACACTTGGTAAGTCCCGTGGGGTGGGGTGGGGTGGGGGGTAGAACTTGTTTTAAATCAGGGCATCGACGTGGTTTTTATATTTTACTTTCTTTTTTTTTTCATATCTATAGTCAAGTGACTCTGTTGGACATGTCTATAATTGTCGTGGTAGACCTTCATTATTTGTTCGAAATGTCTATAAGTATAGTTGTCAACCTTCATTATTTGTTTAAAATGTCTATAAGTGTCGTTGGGAAATTCCATTATTTTTTTTTTAAATGTCTATAATTGTCGTTGTCACAATGCATAATATGTTTGAAATGTCTATAGGCCTTAATCATAGTTGTCAATCTTCAGTATTTGTTTGAAATGTCTATAATAGCCTTTGCCAGCCCTTCACTTTGGAAGGACTAATAGTAAGCCATAGAGGACAAAATTGATCAAGTGAAATTTTAAACGTTGTTCTTTTGTTGTTGTTGTTTTTGTTTTTTTTGGGTTTTTTTTTTTTTTTTTTTTTTTTTTTTTTTTTTTTTTTTTTTTTTTTTTGTTTTTTTTTTTTTTTGTTGTTTTTGTTTCTTAGTCNGTCATTTCCGCTTCCTGCATTCAGGACATTAAACACATGTAAAGCTCAGATTAGTTTTGTGTCTATCTCCCCTTAACTGAACTCACTACTAAAAAAAAAATTGAAAAAAAAACCTATATCATGCCAATCATGTTCTTTAAATAAATACGAGGCGTAAAGAATTTGCTTCATGTCCATTAAAGAAAAGGCCGGGGGGGGGGGGTTACTTCTTAATTTCATTGGTTTTCCACTAAGAGTATTAAGAGCATCTCTACGGATCGTGTTCCGTGTCAAGATCCTTGTATACTTTATTGGTTGAATTCATCAAGGTTCTTTTTCGCGTTGTTCATGCGTCATAATAACACTGAAGTAGCACATGTTCTTTTCCATAATTAATGTAAATTTAATCTATAAACATATCCCCAGACTGTACATTTTATCAACACGTGAGTAGCGCAGCTCGCTATCAGCGAGAATAACACACACACACACACACACACATCTCCTACAAAAGTTCTTTCAGCTGGTGCGAACGAATCCACACGTGCGTCACAAAACAGACAGGACAAATACGTTTTAACAACGATAAAATGTACGTCACCAAGTAAAATGCAGGAAAAGCTAAGAACTGATTACTCTCTCTCTCTCCCTCTCTCAAACACACCCTGCCCGTAATCAAACACACTACCCAGTGCGCAATGATCATTTGTGAACTCCCAGACCCGACAATGTGTTCATTGAATACTCGTTTTAGAATACGGTTTTTTTTAATAGACTGGAATATTTTTTTATTTGAATTATTGTTTTGTTGTTTTTTTCCTCAATATCCTTATTATTCCCTTTTTTTTTTAAAATTATCAATTTATCATATTCATTTTTAAAGATGCACATCACACTTTCCATTAAAATCGTTTTAGAATAATTATACTCTGAAAACATTGTAACTATATTTTACTTTTAAAAAAACGTCATTTGTTGGATCATATCTATTCACTTTCAACTAATTGATACGTTTCACTGTTATCCGACTGCATGCCGTTTGCGTCTTTTTTTTGTGTACCCAAGCCAGCTTCATCTCTTGACGTGTCCAATGCGCTATCGTTGATCGTAAGACTCTCCATCATCCAGCCCCCAGGGTTGGCCAGCCGTGACGTGTCAGCCCGCGATCAAAGTAACCCGTCCAACCGCGACCAAAGGGACTCGTGAGGCAAATAGGGTAGCCCCCCCCTCCCCCTATCACACACCCACACACACGCACATCACACACTGCGTACACCTTCTGCAAATGATCAAGTAAAGTCTCAGGCGACGACACTGCCCACTTCCACTATAACTTTATTTTCTTTACAAGTTTCTATGATTATGGGATTAGCTGCTCTTAAAATCTATTCTAAACCCATCCCAATGATATTCAAGTGAGATTATATTTTACTCTTCAGTATACAAATGTTGACACACCGCAAGGCAAGGCTGGTAACCAAGGAAGACTCCATGGGGACGTGAGGACCCTCTCGAAGATACCCGCCCATGGATCTACGTTACATCATTCTGACGTTAACGAAGACAACGAAGTTACAGATCTAGAATTAGAATCGAATCTACGAGGTAAAAGTGCGCAGCTGCCACCAATAAGACTTGACGATTACGCTAAAAACAAGAACGACATCATTCGATTACTGGCCGACGAGCTGAGGAGAAAGCTAAGCCTAGTCGGTAAGACGAAGAGCATTGAAAATATCGATAACAGGTGTCAGGAGATGGGGATCAAGTACAACGACACCTGCAACGCCAGGCCGTGTCCGCAGAAAACGTTGCCAGAAAAGCTGGAGGACCGGATAGAGCAGCTCGTGTTCAGAGACAAGCTCCAAATACCGCGAGAGTATCGCGCCGTCTTGCAGGACATGAGTCAGGAGATTCTCGGCTTTTACGACATCATCTACGTCACGGGGTTCTCATCCAATCATTATACTGAAGGCCAGGTATGCGTTTAATATATTTATTTATTTAGGTCATGTTCATTAAAACAGAGTCGTTCTTAGGCATAGGCAAACTAGGCGACCGCCTAGGGCGCCACTGCCAAGGGGGGTCCGCCGGACGCTTATTTTTTTAAGCCCACAACTTGCAAGTCCATATATTTCAGAAAGACACATTTTCTCTAGTGGCGGAATCATCAACGTGGTCAGTGGTTACACGTGAGTTGAGAGGAAACAGTGATGAAGGTAGAATGGAGGAGCCCCAGTGGTGGGTGGTGTTTTCTCCTCAGCTCCGGGCGAACTCCGCCCCACCGAACACACACCCCTTTTTCGGGGTCCCCTCCTATAACCTATGCTCCATGAGTAGGGCCCCCAAAATCCTAGCAAAGAACCGCGCTGATTACAAGGTTTTGAATTCACAAGTATGCGCCTTAAAATTTAAAAAAATGCGCTCTGTAAATCGTTAAGTCAACAGAAAGATGGGGCAGTCAAAATTCAACATCTCTCTGCCACTTATCTATTTACATTGCAGTGTGGGGAGGAATAAAGCTGCAGGGGGTTGGGAAGGGGTCAGGAAGGGGTTGGAAAGGAATGGCTTGAAGATTTTAATAGTGGAACATGAAGGGGATGCGAAAAAAAGGGGGTGGGGGGGTGTCCGCCCAGTGCAGAACCTTTTTTCTGTTTATGAATTGACGGCATTTTCGGCCAACGCACCAACAGCAGATTTTTTTCGTGGAAGAGGGTGGCATACAGCTCGGCCCGCCCCAGGTGGAACTAATCTTAGCTACGCCCCTTTCAAGTTTTATAATTTAATTTACTTTAAAAATGCAATTTTTAGATGGCGAAAGGGGTTCTTTTTTTTTTTCTTTTCCTAGATTTACTACCTTGATTATTTGTTTCTAAACGTCGATTAACGCCATCAAGCTGATGCTAACTGACTCAAGCAAGTTCGCTTACTCCAGCAGGGTCACTAACTCATGGTTGTTGTTTTGTTTTTTTTTTAATTTTCTTCAGACTCTCCTGCGTCACCTCCACGAGACTCTGTTCCCACTGTTTAAAAATTTCACGTTCATCGTCTACGACCTGGGACTTAAGGAAGACGAGGTGAGACAGGTCAAGAAATACTGCAGGTGAGGTCCACCAAATAGTCCAGGTAACACCATAAATAGACGCGTGCGCGAAAAGTGTGTGTGTGTGGATAGTGTGTGTGTGAGGATAGTGTGTGTGTGTGAGGATAGTGTGTGTGTGTGTGGATAGTGTGTGTGTGTGGATAGTGTGTGTGTAAGAATAGTGTGAGTGTGGATAGTGTGTGTGTGTGGATAGCGTGTATGTGTGTGGATAGTGTGTGTGTGTGGATAGTGATGTGTGTGGGGATAGTGTGTGTGTGGATAGTGTGTATGTGTGTGGATAGTGTGTGTGTGTGGATAGTGTGTGTGTGGGTGGTGTGTGTGTGTTGATAATGTGTGTGTGTGGGGGGGTATGTGTGTGGATAGTGTGTGTGTGTGTGTAGTGATGTGTGTGGGGATAGTGTGTGTGTGGATAGTGTGTATGTGTGTGGATAGTGTGTGTGTGTGGATAGTGTGTGTGTGATGATAACGTGTGTGTGATAGTGTGTGTGTGAGGATAGTGTGTGTGTGTGGATAGTGTGTGTGTGTGTGTGGATAGTGTGTGTGTGGATAGTGTGTGTGTGTGTGGATAGTGTGTGTGAGGATAGTGTGTGTGTGAGTGGATAGTGTGTGTGAGTGTATAGTATGTGTGTGTGAATAGTGTATGTGTGTGAGGATAGTGTATGTGTGTGCGCGGAGATCATGTGTGTGTGGTTAGTGTGTGTGTGGATAGTGTGTATATGTGTGTGGATAATGTGTGTGTGGATAGTGTGTGTGTATGTGGATAGTGTGTGTGTGGATAGTGTGTTTGTGTGGATAGCGTCTGTGTGTGGATAGTGCGTATGTGTGTGGATAGTGTATGTGTGTGGATAGTGTATGTGTGTGGATAGTGTATGTGTGTGGATAGTGTGTGTGTGCGAGGATAGTGTGTGTGTGTGTGTGGATAGTGTATGTGTGTGTGTGGATAGTGTATGAGTGTGCGTGGATAGTGTGTATGTGTGTTCGTGGATAGTGTTTGTGTGTGTGTGCGTGGATAATGTGTGTGCGTTTATAGTGTGTGTGTGTGTGCGCGCGGTTTGTGTGTGTGTGCGCGCGAATAGTATGTGTGTTCGTGGATTTACACATCTCGGCGTTATTCTACTTTGGCACAATATTACCGAAAGATTGGTGACCCCTGATGAAGAGGACAGGAGAGAGAAAATTAGAGATAATGTAGAGAGGGAAAGAGCAAGGGAGGGGAGGAGTGGAATGTTTGGTGAGTGGGAGGGGGGATATGGTAACGTGGGTAAGATAACAGAATAAAAAGGGAGTTGGTTGAAGGTGCAGATGAGGATGATGTGGGTCGGTGGGGGAACTATGGTGGTCGGTGTGGGAACTATGGTGGTCGGTGTGGGAACTATGGTGGTCGGTGTGGGAACTATGGTGATCGAGGTGGATGAAGGTTTGTTTAATTTTCGAGGGGAGGGGGGCAGGGGAATATATTCGAAGGAACTGAGGCTACATAGTATGCTAGCCACCAGGGTTGTAAGCTGGTACGATATTACAGATATCTCTGCATATTCCTTTTTTTTTTTTTCTTTTTTCTTTTTTTTTGCGCTCTCACCTTTCCATTTTTCACATTTAACAACCGTTTACATCTGCTGTTCCAGGTGTACGCTACTGACCTTATATTACAGATATCTCTGCATATTCCTTTTTTTTTTTTCTTTTTTCTTTTTTTTTGCGCTCTCACCTGTCCATTTGTCACATTTAACAACCGTTTACATCTGCTGTTCCAGGTGTACGCTACTGACCTTCCCGTTCCACCTGTTCCCGCCTCATTTCAAGACGCTCAAATGTTTCGCCTTCAAGCCGATGATCATCCGGGCAATGTTTGAGCGGGCAAATGTTGTCATATGGTCGGATACGTCTATTAAGTGAGCTCGATTTCTGTTATGTTCTGTGAGTTATAGAATATATTCTGTAACAGCAACGCAACGAAAAATTAGTTTTGTAGACAACTTTGTCGTACTTGGTAAAAAAAAGGGGGTGGGGTGGGGATGGTGGGGTTGATCAGTGGGTTTCGGGGACATACATCACCCCTTAGAGGTATTATATTTCTATTTTATTATTGCCAAAGAAATCTTTTTTTTAAATAGTTTTTTTTTTAATTTTTTATTTTTTTTTTTTTATTTTAATGCTTTCTTATTATAATGAATATTTTTTAAGAGGAGAAAAAACACATAAATTTAACAATAGAAAACAAATTAATATAATGCAAATGACTCTTAGTCATCATATAAAATCACGCCAGTCCATACAAAATATATATATAAATATATAATATTACAAACAATCTTTTTTAGATTTAGAGGGTCAAATCTTCTGATATTAATTTTTTGTTTTTATCCAACAAATCGACGTGTCGCTTTTTTTAATTATTCTACAATGATGATATTTTTTCTTATTAATCATCATATTTTATTATTCGTGACATTCAGGATGAATAAGCTCTTCCCAGAGGTTATTGAGAAAGTCAAAACATTTGGAATACAGCAAAGACTTCTCATGAATGACTACCCCAGTCCTTCTCACACCCTTCCTCAGGTACTAGCTGTCACCTTACCCCAGTCCATCTCACACCCTACCCAAGTCCATCTCACACTCTTCCTCAGGTATTAGTTCACACCCTACCCCAGTCCATCTTACACTCTTCCTCAGGTATTAGCTCACACCCTACATCAGTCCATCTCACACTCTTCCTCAGGTATTAGTTCACACCCTACCCCAGTCCTTTTCACACTCTTCCTCAGGTATTAGTTCACACCCTACCCCAGTCCTTCTCACACTCTTCCTCAGGTATTAGGTCACACCCTACCCCAGTCCATCTCACACCCTTCCTCTGGTACTAGCTCTCACCCTACCCCAGTCCTTCTCACACCCTTCCTCGTGGAATAACCCAACTATTTCAATGGTATGAACTAGAGACCGACCGAAAGTGATTTTCTGATTTCGGCCGAAGCCGAAAATAGGCCGAAAGTTTAAAATGACTTTCGGCCGAAACCGAAAAAAGACCGAAAGTTTAAAAATGACTTTCGGCCGAAACCGAAAAAGGCCGAAAGTTAAAAATGAATTTTGGCCGAAACCGAAGCCGAAACCGAAGCCGAAACCGAAAATGAAATATTAAGATATTTTGAAATTCGTTCCCGCATACATTCTGCTTACATCGAAAATTATATGGGAAAGTATAAATATTTACATTCTTTTTATAAAAATGAGATAATCGTAAATATTAATAAATAAACATCTAATTTAGGGATCTCAAACTCGCGGCCAGCGAGCCATTTGTGACCCGCAAGACGATATTTTGCGGCCCGCTACATGACAGAAAAGTTTAGTGTAAATGTGCCGGCCCGTTTCCCCCATTCTCATATATTATTATATAACGTGACTCTCCACGACGGTTTCAGTGGATCTCACCGACTAATCTAATTCTGATTTATTTATTTTTTATGACTCTATATATTTTTGTATGCCAGGTCTCTGGCAACAGTGAGTAGTTCTTGAGATCCCTTAATTATTCCATTGTTATTTATAAAGGTTGACCAGATTGTAACAGTTGTAATCGCTTTTTGTGGATTATTTGATGCGGCCCACTCTTATTCAGACACTACCTCCTGCGCCCCCCCCCCCCCCCCCCCTTAATTTGAGATTGATACCCTTGATCTAATGAATACTTTGGATTTTACCATTTTAATATTAAAGTAATTTAAATTGCTTTACAATTTTTTCAAATTTGTATGGTAGGAGAAAATTTGGCAAAAATTTGGGAAGGGGGGGGGGGGAGGAGGGGAAATTAATGGAAAATATTATTTTTATAAACCTGGTCTCTAAAAAATATGGTTCTAAAAGATCACTTAATTTGTTTTTAAAGATCGTTTAGTTTGTTGTTAAAGACCGTTTAGTTTGTTCTTAAAGATCGCTTAGTTTGTTGCTAAAGATCGCTTAGTTTGTTTTTAAAGATCGTTTAGTTTGTTGTTAAAGATCGTTTAGTTTGTTGTTACAGATCTTTTAGTTTGTTATAAAAGATCGCTTAGTTTGTTGTTAAAGATCGTCCAGTTTTTGTTAATGATCTCTTTATTTTTTTCTTAAAGATTGGTTAGTTTGTTCATAAAGATCGCCTGGTTTGTTGTTAAAGATCGTTTAGTTTGTTCTTAAAGATCGCATTAGTTTGTTCTTAAAGATCGTATAGTTTTTGTTAATGATAGATTTATTTGTTCTTAAAGATCGCATTAGTTTGTTGTTAAAGATCGTCTAGTTTTTGTTAATGATAGCTTTATTTGTGCTTAAAGATCATTTAGTTTGTTCATAAAGATCGCTTAGTTTGTTGTAAATTCGCTTAGTTTTTTCATAAAGATCGCTTAGTTTGTTCTTAAAGATAATTGATTTTGTTCCTTAAGATCAATTAGTTTGTTCTTAAAGATCTTTCAGCTTGTTTCTAACGAACATTTGGTCTTCTGTTAAAGATCGCTTAGTTTATTCTTATAAATCATTAAAGATCATTTGTTTTGTTCTTAAAGATCATTTAGTTCGGTCTTAAAAATCGTTTAGTTTGTTGTGAAATATCATTTAGTTTGTTCTCAAAGATCGCTTAATTTGTTCTTAAATGTCGCTTGGTTTGTTGTTAAATATCGCTTTTGCTTAGTATTAAATGACCGAAAACCTGAGTCACTTTCGGCCGGATGGCCGAAAGTCTAAGTCAAATTCGGCCGAAACCGAAGAAAAACCGAAAGTTAACTTTTCTCTTTCGGCCGAAACCGAAATTAAGCCGAAAGTTAACTTTCCAGTTTCGGCCGAAACCGAAAATTGGCCGAAAGTGATAAAATGGCCACTTTCGGCGCCGAAGGAAACCGAAGCCGAAATTCGGTCGGCCTCTAGTATGAACACCCTGTCCCAGGTACTAACTCAACTAGTTCGATGGTCAAAGCAATGACTGGTAAGAAAAAAAATAAGTGTCTATTATAATCTAATTTTTTACTTCCCAGCCATTTCTTGATTTGATCACGATGATTCGGTTTAAATTTGTTTAAGTATCTGGTAGTTCATCTCAATTTTTTTATAAAATAGATTTAATAAGAGTTAACGTTCTTTTTTAACTAATTGGGAATTTGAAAATTTCTAGTTACAAATAATAAAGTTAAGTTAAGGCAGTTGTCGGCAAACTCTCATTAGTCAAAACAGACAAAAAATCAGCAGCAAGACGATTTTTAAAACATTTTTGAGAGCTAAATTTCTTTTCAAGAACCTGTCAAGAAACATGTTTTTCGGAGTCAAAACCGATTTGTGGCCGATAGGCCGAGCCGCACTCAGGTCGCTAAAGAGCCGCATGCGGCTCGCTAGACGCGATTTTCCGATTACTGGGTTAAGTGGTTCTGGAAAAACAAAAACAGAATGTTACACTGCTTGAAAACGTATGTATTTGCATAAAATCATCGTTTGGGATTTTTATAACAGAAAAGTGTCCGCAATTAAAAATTGACAAATTTGTTATTGTCGTCAGCATGCCATCTATTATTAACCACAATATTTAAAACTATACCTATTCCCTCTCTTCCCAAAAACTTTTCAGATGTTCCATTTTTTCGGGGATTCCCCTTGTGCTCACATGGCGTTTAGCCAGGTGGTTGGAGGCTTCGGCGTCTACCATCGGTAAGTAGATGTTCCCTCAGTAAGTCGGTTGGTTATAGCTGGTCACCCTCATTAAGTCGGAGGGTTATAGCTGATCACCCTCAGTAAATTGATTGGTTATAGCTGGTCACCCTCATTAAGTCGGAGGGTTATAGCTGGCCACCCTCATTAAGTCGGAGGGTTATAGCTGATCACCCTCAGTAAGTCGGAGGGTTATAGCTGGTCACCCTCAGTAATTAGATGGTTATAGCTGGTCACCCTCAGTAAGTTGATTGGTTATAGCTGGTCACCCTCAGTAAGTTGATTGGTTATAGCTAGTCACCCTCAGTAAGTCGGAGGGTTATAGCTGGTCACCCTCAGTAAGTAGATGGTTATAGCTGGTCACACTAAGTATGTTGAAGGTTATAGCTGGTCACACTAAGTATGTTGAAGGTTATAGCTGGTCACCCTCAGTAAGTAGATGGTTATAGCTTGTCCCCCTCAGTAAGTTGATTGGTTATAGCTGGTCACCCTCAGTAAGTCGATTGGTTATAGCTTGTCCCCCTCAGTAAGTCGATTGGTTATAGCTGGCCACCCTCAGTAAGTAGATGGTTATAGCTTAAAATTGTCTCCCTCAGTAAGTTGATTGGTTATAGCTGGTCACACTCAGTAAGTAGATGGTTATAGCTTGTCCCCCTCAGTAAGTTGATTGGTTATAGCTGGTCACCCTCAGTAAGTCGATTGGTTATAGCTGGTCACACTCAGTAAGTAGATGGTTATAGCTTGTCCCCCTCAGTAAGTTGATTGGTTATAGCTGGTCACCCTCAGTAAGTCGATTGGTTATAGCTGGTCACACTCAGTAAGTAGATGGTTATAGCTTGTCCCCCTCAGTAAGTAGATTGTTATAGCTTGTCCCCCTCAGTAAGTCGATTGGTTATAGCTGGTTAGCCTAAGAAGTAGATGGTTATAGTTGGTCACACTAAGTAAATTGATGGTTAAAGCTGGTCACTGTAAGTAGATGGTTAAAGCTGGTCACCCTAAATAAGTAGATTGTTATAGTTTATCACATCAGTAATTGTAGATTGTTATAGTTTGTCCTCTCAGTAATTTGATTGTTTTAGTTGATCATCATCACTAAGTAGATTGTTATAGTTGATCACCATCAGTATTTTGATTGTTTTAGTTGATCACCATAAGTAAGTAGATTGTTATAGTTGATCACCATCAGTAATTTGATTGCTTTAGTTGATCACCATCAGTAATTTGATTGTTAAGTTTGTCACATCAGTAAGTAGATTGTTACAGATTGTCACCATCATTAAATGGATTGTTATAGTTTATCACTATCATCAAGTAGATTGTTTTAGATTGTCACCATCATCAAGTAGATTGTTATACTTTGTCAGCATCAGAAGTGTATTGTTGAGTACAGATGTTACTGACATTCATTTTTCACGTCATTGTTCAAAACGGTCTGTTGTAAATGTGATGTGTTGTAAGTGATTTGTTCTAAGTGATACATTATAGGTGATATGTTGATATGCTCAAAAAAAAAAAACGTTTGTTCTTTATGCGTTAGTCATGTCGTCAAAATAATGTTCAATGTTGTAAAAAGTATGCTGAACGTCAATGCAAGTTCTATGCTGAATTGGGGCCAAGACTAATCTACACAAATAAAAGTCGCGTTCCCTCAAATGCACACGCAACCTGGCCAACGGTACGTCTTGTCACCAATTTCCTGACAGCCTCCACTTGAACTAAGATTATCTCTCACCTTAAGTGCCTGGGTTGGAGGGGGGGGGGGGCTTGGAGGGGGGGGCATAATCACAAACCGAAAAATGCGGATCTCTATAGCAGGAGTGGGTCAACTATGGCTCGGGAGCTAAATGGGGCTCAATCCTCTATTTTGAATGGCTCCCCCCCCCCAACAGGGACGTCAATTGGGGAAGACAGTGGGCGGCGTATGAATTGGCATGTTTTAATTAAATTGCTATACACTATGATACCTCAGGTAATAAACAACTCAGCAAGCCGGCCAGGTTTTGCTTCCCCCCTCCCACCCACTCCACGAAAAAAAATAATCTAAANAAAATACCCCCCCCCCCCCCCGCAACCCCAAACTTGCTTTATAGTGTGGCGGATTGGTTTTTTTTCCCAAATTTAAAATTTAAAAAAATAGGGAATGTTTCATTACAAGTGAAATATTTCTCAAAATAGCAAAGTTTATCAAAATTTCATAATATTTATGATAAAGCATCCACGGAGGCAAGTGATCAGCTCAATATATTATCACTTTTCAGCTTGGCTCTGCGAATCAGCAATCCCTACAATAGGATTCATCAGTGGACTCGTGACTTGTTTATGTGAATTTAAGAGGCAGGGGTTTTGTTGTTGTTGTTTTTTTTTTATTTTTTTTTTGTTTTTTTTTTGTTTTTGTTTTTTTTGGGGGGGGGGGATGTTTTGAGGACAAGAAATCAGACCAAATGTGTGCAGCTTTTTATGAAAAGACATATCGAGATGTCCGCATTAATTTTTTGTTTAAAATAAGTTTTTAACATCTTATCTCTTCCTTCGCGTTTATCGCTTAGTCGCATTGTTTGATTTATAAACAATGTGGCACACTTTAGTTTCCACTCGCCTCAAGCCCACAACTGTGCTGGCTTTAACTTTAACGGGTGGCCCTCCCTTGCTCTGGTGCAGTGGTTCTCAACCTTCCTAATGCCGCGACCCTTTAATACAGTTCCTCATGTTGTGGCGACCCCCCCCCCACCCACCCCAACCACAAAATTATTTTCATTGCTACGTCCTGGGTCGTTCGATCCCCAAAAGGGATCGTGACCCACATGTTGAGAACCGCTGCTCTAGTGGCTACACTTGATAGGAAGTAACACACACTGACAAATACGGAAAGCAAAAAAGACACGATGAGCCTGAACGTGGCCAAAATAAACACTGGAAGCTTTTGTGTTCGTGCACACCCGGGGTTGAAATACATTATACGAAGGGATTACTTTTTTTCATTTGTTATTCTTCGCTTGCATTCAATTAACCGATAGCGTTGTAAAAAGACCTTATGATGTTCGTTTACGAAGGTGGTGTTCAAAGAAGCGGGGTAGGCTACTGCGGTTATATCTTCGTTTTTGCAAACAGAACATAATTATATTCGAGCATTTATTGAAGAAACATTTCATCACATTTTTTTTTCAAAAATTAAATTTAATTAATAATAATTTTTGTTTGTTTTTGCTTTGTTATCGCCTCAGTTTTTACGACATTCTTTGGATTTTGTTTACGACATTCTTAGATTTTTTTTACGACATTCTTAGATTTTTTATTACTATTACCTTCTTAGATCTTGTTTACGACATTCTTAGATTTTGTTTACGATCCCGCCTAGAAAACACAGTCTGAAATTAAACTTTATTTTCTTTTAAAGCAATTACTTGAGTCACTACAAGGGGCCGGATTATCCAGAGGGCAAAGTGGGCAACTCCCCACCCCCCAGGATCCCCTTAAGCCTATTAATAAGCTCGGGAGGTGGGTGGGCCAGCTTAAAGGCCTACCATGTAATCATTATAGGCAGCGGTGATAGATATAGCTAGCGCCCCCCCCCCCCTTTTTTTTTACACTTTCCTTTTGGCTTTCATAGGCCCCAAAACACCTCATTCCGGCCCTAGCTATANCCCCCCCCTTTTTTCTACACTTTCCTTTTGGCTTTCATAGGCCCCAAAACACCTCATTCCGGCCCTAGCTATAACTACCAATAAGATTTTCTTGTTTCTCCTGGTTATATACGTATGCTCCCCTGGTTATATACGTATGCTCCTCTTCATACCCTTACATGTCTCTATCCTCTACACAGTGAACTATTGGTCGAACGAGCCGTCCTTGACCCCTGGCTGGCGTGCGCCATCCAAGAAGAATGCACCTGCCCGGTCAAACAACACACAGTCCAGACCTGTCCGAATCCTCGGACCACCAAGAAGATCGGACTCTGCCACCGGAACGACCAGTCGTCCATGTCCATCATCATGGCGAAGCTGTTCCGGGAAAAGTACAAAGATTTCGTGGTCGACATGAGCCGGTACCAGTCGTACGAGCCACGGAAACCGGGCAACTACTTCGATGTGCTTGGCCAGATGGAACAGGAGGACATAAATAACACCGGGAAACACTGACGAGAAGATGGTGGCGTCCCTAGTAACCATACTTAAAAAAAGAGAAACAGACAAGAACTCTTCAATGAAAGGAAACGAATAAGATAAGAAAATCGAAATTCGTTTGATAGCATTGACAGTTTTTTAACCTTGGCAAAAAACGTTGATATTATTATGTTCTTTTAGCCTTAGAATGTACATACGAGACGTGTTGCTCTGCCACATATACACACACACAAAATTCACAAAATATTGAAAATCAATTTGGATTTGTGTTTTGGTTGTTAATTAATAAACAAGGATTTATTCTTAAAGGAAATCGCGACAATTTTTAGCAGCTTTTCTTTTCAAACACGATGACGTCACGCCCAGCAAACGGTTAAGAGAAAGATGACAAGTTTTAAGTGGATTTTCCATTATTAAAACATACAAAATGTTGCGCCCTGTTCTAAAGAATGGCAAAGCTGGTGCTATAAGAAGTTGCACACAACTGACCTTGCTGGATATTAAAAATGTTGTTTTATCGAGGCTGCATGCGTGTCAGATGTGTGCATGTGTCAAGTATGTGTCAAGTATGTGTCAGGTATGTATGAGTGTCAATTATGTGCGCGTGTCAAGTATGTGTGTCAAATAAGTGTAAATATCAATTATGTGTATGTGCCAGGCATGTGTGTGCCAAGTATGTGTACATGTCAAGTATGTTTATGTGTCAAGTACGTATACATTCAAATATGTGTACATTTCAAGTAATGCTCATGTGTCTAATTTTTGTACATGTCAAGCATGTGTACGCGTCAAGTAATTTTCCTTGTCAAATATGTGTACATGTCATCTATATTTACATGTCAATTATGTACATATTTCAAGCATGAACGTGTCAACTATTTCTAAGTGTCACGTATGTTTACATGTCAAGTATGTGCACATGTTAAGTATGTGTACATGACATGGGAGTTTTCATCATACTCTGGGCTGCCTTAAAGAGGTTCCTGAACTATATCTGATTGTTATCAAAATAATTCTATAATTGTGTTCAACAGGGCCAGAGCCCCGAGCTAAAACTGAATTCATGCGCCCCTCTTTCCTGAAATGTATATTATATTAAAGCACATATTTGAAAGCTGACGATTTCGGCGTCCCACGAAGGATTGCACCCAGGGGGCGCGGTGCTCCCTTCGTTCAGGAGTGAGGCATTTTTAAAATGAGCACACCTTTCAGAGGAGCTTTAGGAGGTTGCCAGTCATAATATGCGCACCGAGATTTCAGCACTTTCTCAGACGTGATGCTAATGGTCTATATGTTCGAAAATTTTCATACCATAATAAAGGTTTCTCCAAAACATATTGCGCATACAAAAGATAGCGTTGTGCGTGATCTTAGATTTGTTGAATATGAAGTCACAAAGGGAAAAAACACATATTTATCGCTACGTAACTGTAATATATTTTTATTCATTTCTATGTTTCTTATTTTTGATTAACAATCGTAACTTTTGTAACCAGGTCAGACAATTAAAAGGGAATTTCTTTTTTTAAAGTTTTACTTAAACATACAAACTTTGACAGTCTGAGCCACACCGATAACGCACCAAGTTATCTCTATCTCAAGCCCCATAGAGAGAGAGAGAGAGACAGAGACAGACAGAGAGAGAGAGAGACAGAGAGAGCGCACAATCTCAGCGTGCATCTCTTGGACCCGTGGTGGGCAAAAACGATGGACAATATCCACAGGTGGTCATCCTACAAAATAAGGGCGTGGTCATCTGGAACTTTCATTTCCGCTACGTTATTATGTTCGGGTTTTTTTTTTTTTTATTGGGATTAACTGAAATGTGATTTGTGTGAGAGTTATAAACCAGAGTTTTTACAAAATCGGTCAGACAGGGACATTGCAAAAATTATCCCCACCCCAACCACTTTTTTAAAAAAATGGTATTTAGGGGAAAATATATGTTCTCACTTAATGCTAAACTTTGTTATTACAATAAAATCGCAAACAATAAAAATGATTCATACATTTGATTAATAAATTATATGCTTAATACTTATGATTACTTCAATTGTAACTCTACATTAGAAATGTGAAACTTTACTTGAATATGTGGGATAAATCTATTGTAGCAATGGGAAATTTTACTTGGAAATGCGGCCACATCAATTGCTTGGTGGTGACGTGTGTGGCTAACAACCAAAAGGTACTGCTCTCCACTTCTTTAGAATATAATTTATTGTTTTTATTTTCATTATACTAGCATTGCGACTGGACACTAATACAATACCCACTGTCAAGTGTATGAGAATCACTGTTGTTAATGTGAAAACTTTTTGGTCCGGGGGATGTGATGTCACGAGTGGTATTTTTGTGGCTAAATGGCAATGGCCAGCGGATGACAGAACAAGCACAATAAACAAGTGCGTGTGTGTATCAGACTTTGTTATCGTGAGAGTTGACGAGAGTTGAGGACAGAGAGAGTGCTTGAGAAAATTTAGTGAGAACGAGATATAATGCTGTTGTTTTTGTTTTGTTTTTTTTTATTTCTTGGGGGTTTTTTTTAATAGCGTTAGGCTATATTGTAACCAGGTGGATCTGCGTGAGACGGAATAAAGAAGAACCATTTTATTGCAAATGAAAGCGTTGGTCTTCTAATATTCGGTGTGCCTGGTCCTCGGTGCATAGAGTGACAATGTTATAGTGTACCCTAGACAACGTTGCCAGTACTACTCGAAGATCCTCGATGATTTAATCCAAAACCAAACCGTTGTCAGCCTTTAAAGTGTCGCGACTCCTATATAACTTTTTCCAAGTTGTGGCCACGAACCACCATCATTATTTCTTGCGATTGAGAAACAGGTGTGAGAAGGGGTGGGGGGGCAGAGATTTTTTGTAGTTGAAAAGATGTTGGTTCTATAATTCACACCACTGGTTACACCTTTGCGTGGAATCTGCCAAATTTAAAGTTTTAAGGCCCCAAAAAGAGGAACCGAATGGAGAATAAAAAATCTATAATCATATATAAGGCTTTTTTTTTTTTTTTTGGAAAAAAAAATGCCAAAATATTTATATTAAATTAGCCGCTGGCATGTAACGAATGAACCGTACCTTGTTTTGTGTAGCTCAAGTGTCACCAGACCGAATGGAGAATAAAAAATCTATAATCATATATAAGGCTTTTTTTTTTTTTTTTTGGAAAAAAAAATGCCAAAATATTTATATTAAATTAGCCGCTGGCATGTAACGAATGAACCGTACCTTGTTTTGTGTAGCTCAAGTGTCACCAGACAGTAGTAACAATACGAAACTAGTCCGATCACTGTAAATGTTGTTTAAACTTTAAAATGAAAATTAATACGGAAAACAATGCACATTGTAAAAGCAAAGAACCACGCATGCGCACCCACACTCCTTCAAATTTTTTATATTCTCGTGTGAATCCTGGCATATTTTTTTTCCAGGCGACCCATGAGGTGGCTGTGACCCACAGGTTGAGAACCACTACCCTATCCCCCATAAACATAACTAAAACGAAATAGCTATTCGGACCCGGATCCAAGAAGTGAGAGGTTGGGATTAAAAAATGTTAATAAATATAATTGTTAGGTTTATAAGACAAAACTTGGTATCAAATGAAATATAATTTAATGGACTATATGTTTGTAAACTTACTTCTTCAGTTTAACTAACATAAACTAACACAAATGACATCCGAATCACATTGAGTCTAAAGGGACCCGGGTCCGAATAGCGGCGCTGCGTGTCCAGGGCCATTGATTTCTATGACCGAACTTAGAAATAACACACACACACCAAAGCGAGGTGCTCTCCCTCCCCATATTAAATCTAAGAAACACACTATCGACTTAGGACACATTAACTCAGCGTTTCTCAACCTGTGGATCGCGACGCCTTTTGGGGGGGGGGTCGAACGACTCTTACACAGGGGGTCTCATAAGACCATCGGACAGCACATCTTAATGAAGTAGGAACCAAAATAGTTTTATGGTTGGGGGGTCGCCACAACATGAGGAACTGTATGAAAGGGTCACGGCAAGAAAAAGGTTGAGACCCGCTGCATTAATTAACTGGTCAACCAATGGAACCATTTTTTTTTCTTTTCATTCCCATAAAAGAAATGTGCAGATAGTTCGCGGGTTTTTTCCCGGTCACCGGTGGGTCATATTTTATTTTTAGAGCTATTTTAATGCAATGAGTCATTTGAAAGTGCGAGGAGTCACTGAAATATGAAATGTGGGTCGCCATGGTCATTCATTTAAGATAAGATAAGACAAGATACGATACGATAAGATTCTTTATTGATCCAAGTAAATGGAAATGTTTTGTTTTACATCGTATAAATTCTTTTTCAACACATAAATAAAATACCTATTTAAACCAAGACAATATTTTACAATTAAAACTATTGCAACACAGGACATCTTTTAGCTCTATATACATTTTTCTTGTGGCGTAAGACTGCTTCCATTTCCTGATAGCGCGCGAAATATAATAGTTCCAAATAACCACGTTATTAATTTAAATGATTTTTTTTTAAAAAAAAACCCAAATGCGTTTGGTGCGTACTATTTTCTTTTCGAAAAATGAAATCGTTCCAATTTAAATATGGTGTAATGAATATACAGTTTAAATGTGGTTGTGACATCAGAATAATAATATAGTTCATGGGCTTGAAATAAAAAAAAAGTGTGCAGTGACGTGTCATGGGGGCAAGGGGTGTAGCTAAAAATTGGGATTCTTAAATGTGCGTTACTTGAGTTCATGTTTTGTCTAGTAACTTTACTAGATGAGAAGCTCACGCATTGTTGTCGCCAATGTTTGGAGAGCTATGACTTGTCTATTATTATTTTGTTTTACGATATAGTATAGTGCGTTCAAAAAGAAATTTGACGAAAATTTTAACGCGTCAACTGAAAAAAAAAAAAGATTCGACCACATTTCTGTTAGATCAAATGTCTGTCGATCAATTTTCCGTCGACGAAATTTTTTCGATCTTTTCGATCAAATTTCCGGTAACCCCAGTCTTTCCCAGTAGTGTGGATCGGCCAATAGACACTGTTTGTCTTTGAACTGCCTTGTGGACAGTCTAAAGTCTAATCTCAAAAAAACAGCATTCATTTCACACACGTAAATTTCATTAACATCCATGTCATATAGCCATCCATTCACAACAAGACAGTTTTAAGATACAATATTAGCCACTGCAAATTATATTTAGCTTCTATGACCTATATTTAATCTTTTTTTTTTAATAATAATATATTTGGCTTATGTATAGTCTCAAGGACCAAGAGGTATTACATGAACCAATGTGAAATCACATTTCCATTAGTGCTGAATTGAATTAAGATGTTTCATGAATTTAATCTAAAGACAACACTGATATTATTAAATGTACCAAGATCTTCAAGACTGGAGTGAGAACATTGTCATCTTTATTCTTGTAAATGATTTTTTTTTTTTCAAATTATGAAAAAAATCCCAATACATCAATTACAATTTACCACTTTTCTAATAACCATCAAAAAACAAATTCCTTTCAAATATCAACTCCTTTCCAAAAGTGCCTTGCTCATAAAAAGTCATACAAAGATGGGGAAATAATGTAAACAATTCTGTTGTTTTTGTTAGTGTTAGAGAAATGTTAAAGTTAAAAGAATTCAAAAGCTACATAATTCCCCATCAGATAAAAGACAAAAGAGACAGAAGTGCATTTTTTTCATAGCCAAAAGAATATTAATTTCACTATTAATTTTAACATTTTCTTAACTCCTTTCAAGTATGTTTCTTCAAATTTCAAAAAAGAGAGGTAGCTAACATAATATTTGAACATTAGATGCTGTCCCATTGATTCAAGTCTTTTAATTTTAACCCGGAAATATTTTAACTTTTTTCTTTTTCTTTAAATGTTAAACTTTGAAAGTCACAAATGTATTACAAAAAAAAACTGTGTAAACAAGTTTCAGTTCTACAGAATAAATCTGAACGAAGTGAAGTTGTGGATCAATAAATTTTAAAACTACCACAAAAAAAACATTCAAAACTCATGCCAGGCTCACAAATCCACCTTGTAAGTCAAAGAAAGTGTAAAACTTGAGCAAATGTATCAATATAAAGTCACTGTTTTATCTACCAGATTTCTTAAATTAGTTCATCTTTTGTAAATTAAAATAACTTATCGATCTTTTACAATTTCTGTAAAATCGTTATTGCTGTTGCATGTTGGCTAAAAGTTATGAATATTTCAGTAAATAATTTTATATTAGAATACAATTTTAAATTGTTTTTAATACAATTTAAAAAAGTCTGCAGGATAAACTGATTAATTATCTTTAATGGGTATTTTGTTGTTGTTTTTTTAATTTTCATAAAATTGCATAGGTAGTTATCTTTTATAAAAATAAATAATGTTTAATACATATTTTTCACACAAAAGTACTCGAAAATAAATCCCTGTCAATGACAAATTTATGCTTTTGTTATAATTAGATAAATCAGCTTCACAAGATGAGTTTCTGCTATAAAATTCTATATTAATAAGAACCTCTATAAAAATGAACATAATAAAAAATTTGTTAACTTGGTGCCATAGGTCAGTGACATTAGACATAAAATGAGTATCATAAACAAGTCCTACATTAAAATAGTATTCATTTACTGAGCTCAACATCTCATTCAATTAATAGACATAAATTTAATAGATTGCAAATAGAAAACTGCATTTTAGCTATAAAAATAGTTACAAAATATTTATCACAGCAGAGATAGAATATAGGCACATTTGTACAAACATATATATAATTTATGAATTCAGAAAAGAGAAAAAAATGATTTTGTAGGGGAAAATACAGTTCTCTTTGCCTGAATTAGTTTTTTAAGCCTAAGCTTAAAAAATTCAGCAGTATTTTAAATGAAAATTGCACTAGTAAAATTTGAAACGATATGTTTGTTAAAAAGCTGCAGGGCTATAAGAAGAAATTTTAAAAAACGGCCTTGTTTGTTAATAAGGAATTATTTCATCTTCAAATCGTTAAAATGTCCTAAATAGACTGGTAAATAACCAGGTTGTGTAAAGTAAATTACAATAGCAACAGTGATAACAAGTCTTTTAGCAAAACAGAAGGTTCAGTTTATTGTTACAGAATTGAATTAGTCTATATTTATATTCTTAAGACCAGGTTTTTCAAATAAATCAATGTTGTGCAATAATAAAAAGATTTTTTTTAAATATCACAGAAATTTGAATAAAACAGTTGTGTACAAAATAATAATAATAATATATCATACAAAAAAATATTAAGACCAATTTGATAAAATATCATTTACAAATATAAATAACTATAAAGAATACTAACATCAATTCAATAATTTACATTAAATAAATTATTTTTGACAGTGAACATTAAATATTTAAAAATTTGGAAAAGAGATTTAAGACCGGTCCATAAATAATTTACCCAAATAAATTAAATGAAAATGATAAATAGATTTTTATTCCTATAATTTTTCCCCCTTTTTTATAATCAGCTGTTTGGTCTCAGTTATTTTTTTTAAAATTCAGTTCACAAAAATTAAAGAAATTCCTAAAATCTGTTTAAAGAAATCTTTGTTACTAATCTAAATAGAAAATAAACATTTCAAAAATTCGGTTTCAATACAACATGAGTATGACAGCTTAAAAAAATTGTTTTTAATTTACTGGAAAAAAGAACGAATACATTGGTTTCACTTTCATATTACTGGTAACTGCCATGGGGTGGCAATGGAATTTTTTTTATTATATTATTGGATTTGTTTTAATTAGCCCTACTCAACTTTCCGGAATCAAGTTTAGAAACAAAAAACATGATTTTGGAACCAACCTAAATGAAAAAAGTGGACATCATCCACCAGAAGTCATTCTGTTTTACACAAATTTGGATGTACCCCATAGATACACCCCCTGATACCAATGCTATTTTTCATAAGTTATAGCCCTTAAATAGGCATCATTAATTTTCCTTATATCTGACCTAAAAAAGAATCTTTATAAATATTGCTGTTAGCAATAAATATTTACTGGCTTATCAAACTGTTTACACAACATGAGCTTTTAAATTCATAATAACCTTTAGCCTAAATTGAATTCAGCATTTTTCTCAGTGTTTCTGTGCCCAGTGATAGTTTACTCCTCCTATTTAACAATATCTACTACTCCAGAAATCTACTTCTCTTTACTCTCACAGTTATCTACTTCTTTAAGCTTCTGTAATATTCCTTACTCCTCTTGTAATCTACTTCTTTTGGTTCTTCTCTCCCTTAACTTCTCCTGTAATCCCTGTTCGATTCTGGCTTTATTTGTTTCCTGAGCTTTTTCAATCTGAGCCATTTCTTGCTCGTGCTGTTTCTTCAGTTGCTCTATGTTACCTTTGAACATTCAAACAAATAAAGGTCAGTCATTAAATTGTTCTGTGTTACCTTTAAACATGCAAACAGATAAGTCAATAATTAAATTTTTCTATGTTTACCTTTCAAATACAATAATGTTCAAATTATTCACCCCCCACTGTTGTACCACACTGCTATTACAAGTTAAGTTTTACGCTCACCAAAGAGATCTTCCTGAGATGGAGGAGGAGCCAGCTCATTAAGGGGAAGGGGTGTTGGGGCAGAGCCACGCCCACCATCTCCTGGAGTAAGTCCTCCACTCTGCAATTATTGAAATGACACATGTATTTATTACTCCAATTTAAAACATCATTGTACTAAAATGGATCCAGACCCACTGGGTGAATGAGTGTAATTAAAATTTACATTGTTGACATTCAGTTGCATGCCAAAAAAATGTATTGCGTTAATGACAATTATTTATTTTAAAAAACTGTGTTGGTTTTTTTTTTTAAACAAACCCTGAATAAATCTAGCAATTCTTTAAATCTGTCAGCTGTTTAAAACTGAGAACTTATTTGACACACATACTTTATTTTAATGCATTTTCCTGTTACCGTTTTTCCAGTGGAAACAATAGTTTTGTTTTGGAATATTACAGCATTGGGCATTGTGATATATTTTGTTGTCTTATTTAATCCCCCCCCATCACAATGCACATGGGATATAAAATAAATAAACTCATTCAATTTTATTAATGGCAGCTTACCCCGCCCTCTGGTTTAGAAATGGCCATCAACTCTGGTTCAGGCACATTAGTATCAAATTCATCCAGTGAATCTGCAACAATACGATTAGAGTTTCTGTGAGCTGACAATTACATTTCTAGCACCAGTTATTTACAATAATTTCTCTTCTCTATGATCAAACGTAAAAAATATAATGAGTAAAATTATTTTTAATTATTTATTACGTCTGCTTTACATTAACTTTGGAAATAAAAAATCAATGTAACATTTGTTGCAGAAATATTTTTAGGGTAGCTTCCAGAACCAGGCAGAAATTTTAAATTTTATTTCATTTTAATAAATTATTCCTCTGCTAAACTTTTGGGAGTAAACTGAAATGGCTAACCCATTATATCATTCAAAACTTCAAACATACTAATAAAAACGCATCATCTAAAAAACACATTGACAACTAGCTACAGACATTGCTAAAAATCATAAGTTCACTTTTACAGATTGTAAATCAAGGTGTCAAAAAATGTGTATGTAGGGGGTGGAGGCAGTCATCAGAGGAGGTTGTGTGGAAGAAGCTGTGAATCATGTGGTTCAAGATCTATGTGTTGGGGCTCAATGTGGTTGTAGAGAATGCAGGTCGTGTATCAAGGTGTTAAAGGGATGTTCATAAAGGGTGGTCAGAAGATTTTGGAAAGTACTTGAGGTCTTAAAGGATGTGCGCAAAGATATTTAACAAAAAAAATTTGTGCAGGAAGGAAGTTTTAGTTTCTCAATAATTGTTTACAGGATGTGCACACAGGAATCGGAGACTGTGCATGGAGGTTTTAAAAGATGTTTTATGTAGGTTGGAGTATGTGCCAAGATGGGATGCTGGCAGCGTGAGGTACAGCTAGACAACTAGAATTTTAATAAAACAGATTTACATCCACAAAAAAAAAAAAAGCCATAATTTTAAAAGCTCACAACAAACATCTTTTCTTTAAAATGTTTTTATAATGACTTTATAATGGCTTTATAATGACTTTAAGTTAAAAACATAGGCTGTACCCAGTACACAAATAATTAATTTGAAGTAAGCTAAAAGAAACTTGTTCCTAATTATAATAAAAATATTTGAATGAAAAAGTTCATTCAGAGAAGTGCATTTTCCAGCATCAACCAAACTTTGTGCATTTAACACTAATGGCTTTATCAACCGTTCACACAGTTAAAACCATAGTCAGTAAAAAAAAATAAATAAACATGTATAAGCATCCTATGAACTTACAGCGCTCATCCGCTGACAGTGAGTAATGTCAACATTATCAGGAAGTGATCAGACGCAGATAATGATCGTGATATCATAACATTTGGAACTTAAGACTAAATGTGTGAAACTTTGCTCAAAATGATATTATTATGTTAAGTTAAAAGTGATTAAGGACACTTCAATGTAAAGTTTAAATTGATTTATGTCAGTTCAAAGTGATTAAAGACAATTCAGTGCAGTTTTGAGTATGAGGTTATAGATAAGAAACAAAACACAATGAGGATCTGGTGAATATACATTTAGAATTTGTTTTGTTTTATTTAATTAATGTATGTTAATTTTTAAGTTCATGGTTATTTTTTTTTATTATTATATGTACATCGTGTTAATAATAATAATAATAATAATAATTAGTTGTTATTTTTGTTAAATGTTATGCAAAATTTTCTCATCAAACTGTTACATGATTGATGTGATATTAAAAATAAACATTTTCATCAATGAGAAATTAAGAAGAAGGTCAAGCCCTCAAAAAGTTTTGATATGAAAATACTTAAATCTGTTTCTATGATATTCTCCTGTATCAATAAGAACATAGTTTAATCTGTGAAATATAATTTTTTAAAAAATGTAAAAACCTTTTTCAGGGATTTTAATATCACTTGTGTCACCACCAATCCTCTCCTTTATCAGACGCAGTCGTTCCTTCCTGAGTTCATGTTCCTTGGGTGATAATTCTGCTTTAGCTTTAGCCAGGTCTTTCTCTATGGTGTTGTCTATAACCTGAGGTAGTATGAAAAAAAAATATTTTGGGAACTAATGAACCCTATTTATTTTTTTAACTAAATGGCTGGTCTCAAGAAGAATGTGCCATTGCATTACATTAATAGACAGCAGGAGGCGAGGCTGCAGCCAGCTTATTTTAATCATTAAAAATCCATTTGATGGAGTAACACAAGATATTGGGGAAAGTTAAAATATATTTTAAAAACACATGTATAATAGCAAACAATATAATGGATATTTTGTATGGAAAAAATTCTTCCAGGAAAAGAAAGGGGAAAAAGATTGTTGAGTTTAAAGGGAAGAAGACCTTTTACTGATTAACATGTTTTAATATTGACCATTTAATAAAGTCCACTTTAAAAAAAACTGATTTGCCTCTTCTATCAAATGAGGGTAGCTTACACTGTCAAACAATAATTAGCTTACACTGTCAAATAATTATTAGCTTACACTGACAAACTCCTATTAACTAACACTGTAAAACCAAAATTACTTAGCTCACACTGTCAAATCAATATTAGCAAACACTAGCAAGCCACTATTAGCATACACTGTCAAACCCCTATTAGCTTACACTGTCATTTGTCAAATCAATATTAGCTAACACTTGCAAGCCATTATTAGCTTACACTGACATACCACCATTAGCTTACACTGTCAAACAACTATAAGCTTAGACTGTCAGACCACTATTTTCTTACACTATCAAACCACTATAAGTTTACACTGTCAAACCTCTGTGACAATACCCCACACTGCTTGTGGCTCACAATGTCAAACCACTGTAACAATGCCCCACACCACTTGTGTGTCACACTGTCAAACCACCATTAGCTTACACTGTCAAACCACTGTAACAATGCCCCACACCGCTTGTGTGTTACACTGTAGCACTGCAAGGCATGTTGGTGACGGTCTTGGGACTGCATGTCGATGTAGATATTACTGCACGCCCTGTTCAAGGTGTCTATTTCTTCTGGCTCACAGTACGGAAACTGTTGGGTCAAACAAATGTCCTAGTTAATATTTCAAAAAACCTTTCAGGTTAATCAGTCTGTTCTTATTAGATTTCTGTAAATAAGCCAACTGATCCATCCTTAAGTGTGAAATAAAACAAGAGTGGCATATTGAACTAAATCCTAAATTATCACTGAGATTTTGAGTAGAGATGCTTTCCATTTTGTAACGCTAGCCTCAAATTGTAGGACTGGAATGATATAATGAGTCAAAACCTATGATAAATATAAAGAGGCTAATTTTTTCACTGTCACCATGTTCATGAACTTGCCTTATCTTCATGTGGTGGAGGTGCCTCTGTGCTGTTGTTGTTATATAGTGACACTGTTCATGAACTTACCTTGATGTTGTTGAGATATCTCTGTGCTGTTGTTATGTTTTGGCTGGCAGCTATAAGATTATTCCTTGTCTCTGTGGCCAGCTGGTATTTCACTTGCATGTTGCTAGAAAATATTTTTTTTTAAATTTATTGAAAAGGGTGACCCAGTATTAAATCTGTAACTTTTAAAATACTTTTGTGCTGTGGGAGAATACTAACAGCATGGACTTTGAAATCCCTTACTTATTCCATCACCACTGGCAGTGCTATGATGAGCGTGGGTGGGGGGGGGGGGGGAATTGCAAGGGTGAGGATATTAAATAATTATCTAACTATTGAGAAAATTTACAACCAGGCAGCAGGGAGCAATGCTATTTTGAATATCTATGATGAAGAGAAAAAAACATTTTAAAAATGAATTATTCCATCACCACTGGCAGTGCTATGATGAGCGTGGGTGGGGGGGGGGTGAATTGCAAGGGTGAGGATATTAAATAATTATCTAACTATTGAGAAAATTTACAACCAGGCAGCAGGGAGCAATGCTATTTTGAATATCTATGATGAAGAGAAATAAACATTTTAAAAATGAAATCTATATTAGATCATGAGATAAAAAATTGTTAAACTTTTTTTTTTAATAACAAAAAGTAACGGCATGATGCTTACTTGCCAGGAACTTGCATTAAATCTTGCCAGCGTTTCACGGCATACCCAAGCTGGTTACAAGCATGCTGTAATAAAATTTTGCCATTGGACCATTTGTATTTGGCCATGCCGATTCTTTCTTTCCTGTCTAGCAGTTGGTCTACCTCTTCTTCCAGAGTGTTTTCAAGAGCTGACCCATATTTGCCTTTGAAAATATCATCTGGAAATAAAAATGAAAATTAAATGTCGATGCTCTAACTCTAATTTAAGAGGAACAATAATTGATGGCCATCTTGATTTATGATTTTTTTTTTACTCTTGATTTAAAGCGTACATGTGACTGAATAATTAAATTGTGGATTCACCAAATTTTGAAAGATTAAAAGGAACCTTGAGGCAGCCAGGTGGTAAATTCAGCTCTGTAGCATTCAATGAACGAGAAATCTAAGATGTTTAGAGTGACACCCAAATACATATGGACTGCACAACTTTATAAAAGTTTGTAATAATTTTTAATTTATTTACCTTTTACCAAATGAATTAGACATATATATAATTAGGACTTTTTTTTTTAATTTCACTAAAATTTGCCAGATTGTCCAAACATAAACCTATTATTCTTCATGTCAATATTTTCAAAGGGTTTCACGTACTTAATATTTTATCCTGCTCATCATACAATGCCATCAGTTTGTTCAAATCCCCAGTCTTGTCATGGATTTCTTTGTCCAATGCTTTCTTCTGATTCTGAATTCCTTCCAGCTGTTTCTTGGCCACCTCTTGTTCACTGACAGCTTCTAAAAGCTCTTCCTGGGGAGTAACAATGCAAACACCATGTAATTACAGTAATGCAGTAGACTTATTTTTAAATGCTTTTTCTAGGTAGCTGAGTATTTATGAAAATGTATTCAAAAATTTTATTTTCAAAGATTAGACATCTAAAAAATAAATGGAAAAGCATAAATTTTGAGAATCTAGTTTAAACTTATCATTTTCCCTGCCGCTTACATACACTGGTATTTTAATTAATGTATCTTTATATAGTAGAGGGAAAAAAGTGTGGTCTGTGCTGGGAACAAGCAGTTAGTAAATATTTATATTGAAATCAACAATGTAACATTAAAAATTATAAACAGGCAACAGGTTGGTCTACCTGTTCCTTTGACATTTTTTCATCAAACTCTTTTTGGTCTTTGAAGAAAGCTTTCACGGATGGATTCTTCATCTTGTCTACATCAGCCTTCACCTTAGCCCTATCATATAATGTGTAAAAAAAAAAAAAATTAATTAAACTGGAATCAAATCATTGATATATCCGAATCACTGCACGCTATGGGTAATAAATTTAAAGCATAGTGGCTTAACTTAATGATTCTGCCTACTTTAGAGCTGGAATCTTCTGGCTCCTGGATGTCTTAAGAGCTTTTACAGACACATACCATTATAAATACAGAGATGAAGTTAAATCATAAACACATTGTACATCTCCTTTATAGTTAAATGAATGGTGGTCTCCTAAAATAATTGTAATGAAAAGAGGAGCCCAGGCTCTTAAAACTACCCAAGTTGGAAGATAGCACCCTTACCAAATCTGGAAAATAGCACCCTACCTTGGGTGGAAGATAGCACCGTACCCAAGCTGGAAGTTAGCACCCTACCCAAGCTGGAAGATAGCACCCTACCTAAGCTGGAAGATAGCACCCTACCCAAGCTGGAAGATAGCACCCTACCCAACCTTGAAGATAGCACCCTACCTTGGGTGGAAGATAACACCATACCCAAGCTGGAAGATAGCACCCTACACAAGCTGGAAGACAGCACCCTACCCAAGCTTGAAGATAGCACCCTACCCAATCTGGAAGATAGCACCCTATCTTGGGTGGAAGCTAGCGCCATACCCAAGCTGGAAGATAGCACCCTACACAAGCTGGAAGAAAGCGCCCTACCCAAGCTGGAAGACAGCATCCTACCAAAGCTGGAAGATAGCACCCTACCAAAGCTGGAAGATAGCACCCTACCCAAGCTAGAATAGGATTTAAATGGGACTCAAAATCAGCCAATGTAGCAAGTACCCAACTTTTAATTTGTAAAGTCAAACAAAATTGGTGTATTTTACAGAATAGGTTAAACTTTTCTTGGCTTCGTGTATAATGCAGCCATACCTTGCAAGATGGTGGGACAGATTCCTACATACAATTATTTAATCTTGAATTTTCCTACAGTCATTTTGAGTTTATGGTTTCATTCTTATACTTTACAAAACCAATAAGCACGTTCAAGGTAGAGCATGAAGTAAATCATGCTACTTTTTGATAATTTTTAACTCTCCACCCCATCCACAAATCTCACTTCCCCTTGATTTTGAAACACACTTCATTATTCAACTATTAAATCTATAAAAGTGACAGGAAACTCAACATAACTTTCAATTTCATATTTGTTATGTATGATAAACAAAATTTAAAATGTGTGTGACTTCCACAAGATCTTTACACCTCCCCTCCATGTTAATAAACTGTCAAACTTTCTTAGATCCACATCCCTTACAATGCACACTTACCAATTATTACAAATTTACAACAGTGCACGATGTGGTTATTTAGTCTTCAAATAAAAACTCAAACAAAATTAACATTATCTCCTCAGGGAGAAAAAGATTATGCTATGACGACAGAAGTCCACAGCTATTAGCATTTTGTAAGCTGGAAAAAGATAAATGGGCCTTACACTTTATCACAGGCTGCCTGGTAACTCTTCTCAGACTCTGCCAATGTCTCCAGCAGATGGGCTGACTCTTCTTTCTTTGCTTGTAGATTTTTTGGTAAATTCTTCCCTTCCCATTCGTGTATTTCTTTCTGGATACTGAGGTAGCGCTTGAGCCTTTTCTTGATGTCACCGTCTGAAAGCTAATAAATAAGAGAAAAATGTGAGAGGCACAAAAAGAGTTGCTCATAAAATATTGTCATAAGTCAATTTACATCCAACATCATCTGTAATGTCATAAATCTAAAGGCTGAAGATAGGGCTTACAGAACAAGAATTTTTGCAATAAAGTAAAGCCAGTAAAGCAGAGGCAAACTGAATACTCTTACAGAGCATTACTGCATTAAACTAAGCATGTTGATCTGTCATTTACTTGGTCATTCTGAGAAGTCATTTTTGTATATTAACCGAGACAATAAGATAGGTCATTCTTGAGCCTTTCACACATACAATCTGACAGGTCATTCATGTACATAAACTGAGTCATTCTGACAGGTCATTTTTGTACATCAACAGTCATTATGGCATGCTGATCGTTTAAAAAATTAGAAGCTTTAAAAAAATTTTTTAGAAGAAAGCGGAATTTTAAATCCCTACAAGACTTCTTAGAGTTCTTATGTTTAACTTAGCTTTTATTTAAACAGATAACTTTAAAACCATCCTGAAGTCAGCTTTAAAATGTAATAATATAATGAGTGGTAAACAGTATGTTGCCCACAAGAATATCCCCAGCAATCTGACATGAGGAAAACAATTCATTGAAAAATTTTCATGTATACTGAATGATTTATGGACCTTCTCTGTAAATTGGTGGATGACATTTTTACAAAAATGTTTACAATTGATGGGGCAAATGATGTTTTTGTTATTTTTTTTATTTTTTAAATAATACCATTTCGCTAAACAGGATGTGCTTGATGAGATGGGTGATAGCAGCAATTAATACTTGAAATAATTGATTGGAAATGGCTGGATCCCATTGAGTGTGTTGGCAGAAAATCAATAGGATGTCAACAATGGGGATACATGACCGAGATTTAATTGATTTTCATTGTTTAATTACAGTCCGCAAGATAATGATTGATTTGACTAACAGATCATTACTATCCTGAGCTTGATTTGTAAAATGCAGGTAGTCCTCATTGAAAATAGATACCTATTTTTTTTATTGTTAAAATGTCAAATGTTGAAAAAAAAACAGACAAGGTCAAGAAAAGTATGAAAGTGATAATTTTAAGTTGGTTTGAGATTAGATTCAATAAAGTGTTAAACATAAAAATCAATCATAGAATTCCCATCCCCCATACTAAATTATTCTCCTACATAAGGATATCTCTGCAACTTATTTATAAATCAAACTGTGGGCTATGTCCTAGGAAAATCTGATAACCTTACAGAAAGCTTTCTGAAGGTGCACGTCAAAGAGCCTTCTCAAATATAATTAAATAAAAAGACAATACTGAATATTTGCCGGATCTCTTAAATATTTTTTTTGTTTACGTCCAGATAAACTCACTGGCCCTTTTGACAAGGTTTCAGAGCTTAGTTTGTTGGTTTTTTTAACTGTAGGATAAAATCGTTGTCTCTTGTGTCAACATTTTAGAGCAGAGTAGACTATTTTTTGTTTATTAAACTTACATCTACATGCTTCTTTTCTTGAATAGGTGGAACAGTTTGAGCCCCTTGCATAGGAACAGGTTGAGTGCTTTTCTGTAAGAAGAAATTACATATAAATTTATTTATTTTTTTAACAACTATTTTTTTTTTCAAATTTGCAACTTGATAATTTAATGGGAATGTCAAGGTCAAGGCCTAGAGTTGATACAGCTGTTTTCATTGCATTTTATTTTTCCTGGGTTTGAGTGGTTGGGTTAGAGGTGCTAGTTCATTTTATTTACAAAAGAAAAAACAACTAACTCAGGTCATCCCCACCCCTTCACTTTCCACCTCAATAATGATGTACGCCTAAATTTCTTTAAATTGTAACTAGCCTACCTGATCAGTGGGTCCCTAAATACAATTTTTGCTATCCTTGACAGGGGATTGGTGTAAATCAACTAAATAACCATACCATGTGCTAGAGGAAAGTTACATGAATATGAAATTATGCAACAGTGCACTAGATCACGGATATGCCACCTACTGGTTGCAAAAGCTCTTTATTTACATGGACACATAGGGGAATTCATAATAGAATTATATTTAGTCTGCACCACTGCCTAATTGAATTAGTTGATGAACTTGAAATTTCATTTAAATTATGTCATTTTTAATAGTCATAGTAAGGATTTTATGCCTATATTTATATAAAAAGTTACTATGTCACTCTGAGAATGATCATACCCTTCTGGTCCACATAACACTACTCTGAGAAGCACTGGTCTAAATCAAAACTTTTATTTTCGTATAGTAGTCTACAATACTTTTATTAATATAATATTATTGTCATTTTTATTTCAAAACGTTATCATTTTTTGTCTTTGAATGAAATAAAACTTGTATAACATGAATTTTTTTGTTTAAAAAGCTGTATTCTCAATGTTTAGTTTCAATCCACAAAAAGAATTAATTAAAATTGTTTCTTAAAAATTAGACTCACTGATACTGTCATTATTACAATTTGGTTGTGATAGATTAAAATATTTCATGCTTTTCTAAGTTATAATGAATTTAAAATGTAAGGCCCTGATAAGCCACCCACACTCTTGTTTTCTTGAATCTGTTATCTACAGTTTGCATTGTACCTGTGTTTGATTAAAAGTCCCAGGATTCCCATTTCCTCTGTTGCCACTTGTGGAAATTATGACAGCAGAGTTATCTTTCTTTGATGGCCCAGATCCCATGTTGACTAATTATCCTCGGAAATGAGTTTTATTTAATTCCACTTTATAAACTTATAGGTCAGTGAATACTTTCAGCCAAGAACAAATGTAAAAAGAAATTTTCCTTGGATTCTTTGTTTTCAAACAGATTTCTTTGATTTTGCCTTTAATGACACTAATAAATAAAAGATAACACAACAGTTAAGATTTACATTCATATCCAGACCCAACAAATATGATTTTTTTTAAACACCAAAATGATGTATGTTATTTTAAAGCTATGTTTTAAATGAATGAAATATATTTCTATAAACACATGGTGACCATGAGGAGTTTTCCCAACCAATAGTTAATAAACTTGTAGAAATATTGAAACAACAAACCTGGTTAAAACTGATCCTGCAGGAAGGGATTCAATGGGAGATTTGTTTACAAAGTAAAAAACAAATGGAAATTTTTGAACATTTTAAACATTTGCCAATTCAGGTGAAAAAAGTCTGATCTTATATTTCTGGGTCAGAACATGAATACATCCAGGGACAGGATAATACCTCTTCTTTATGGTGGTTCTTCTTTTGTTTAGAGTCGCTGTCATGTTTAGTAGTGTCACTTTTTTTCATGATAAACTCCTCCTTTCCCACCGTGCAACCCATTGTTATTGGTAGATGTGAGCTGTCAAGCACAATTTTAATTTAAACAAACACAAAACAAGACTCGGTTTAAATACTTGTTGAAATTTTTTAACAGGTAAAAAAAGTTATTATTCCTTCATCATAAGGATGTCAACTCTAGAGAAATTATAAATTGTTGTGCATGGAGAATACTTATGCACGGAATGGGATATGATGATGTTGATGATGAACTATATTTTGGGATTTTTACTTTAAAAATATGTGTGGCAAGATGATTTTCCCCACTTATTATCTTAGTTTTTAAAAAAAATAATGAAATAAAATCTATTTACCACAAAAGCTAGAGAAATTATAAATTGTTGTGCATGGAGAATACTTATGCATGGAATGGGACATGATGATGTTGATGATGAACTATATTTTGGGATTTTTACTTTAAAAATATGTGTGGTAAGATGATTTTCCCCACTTATTATCTTAGTTTTTTAAAAAATAATGAAATAAAATCTATATACCACAAAAGCTATGCTTGCAAAAAATATCATTTATTTTTATTTCTTTTTCTTATAAATAAAAAAAATTGAGCCTACAAAATGATCATTCAGATGCTTATAAACTGTAAAACTCTGGAAATAGTAAGCCAATGCTCAGAAAAATGAGACGTATCAACTTCATTTGCATTTTACAGAGATACAAAGGGGAAAAATCTGACCCCTCAAGCTACATGAACTTTTCACTGTTTTATGCGCAGGGAAAATACTAGTAAGGTTTCTTTAGCTGAAAAATCTCTCCCACAAATTAAGTGGCTTTCAAGCAAACCCAGCAATAACTAACATGATACTTGTTCTATTAAAATATGAAAGAGGTAGCTGGAGTCATAACATTAATATAAGAAACTGAGTTTCTGTATCAGAAATCAGGAATTACGCAGCTCCAAAAATCAGTGTCAGTAGCCAACTTCTCAATTTTCATGATAAGTTTAAATATTTTGTGAGCATCATCTCAAATGACCTCAAACTGTCTAAGAATAAAGATAACTGTCATGCTAAAGACAGCATTCCTTTTGTCACCTACAAAAACATGTGAGGGCAGGATCACTTACAGAGGCTTTCCACTAAACTATCTACAGGACTGTAGTCATTACAACCCTTCCCAGAGATATAAAAATGCCACATGAAAATGCTATAACATTTGGCTATCATTGGGCATATATGGCAAAATTACAGTGAAACCAATGAATTGTTAGTAGAGGTCATTAAGGAGAGCATCCGAGCCATGCTCCTTACAAGTCATTAAGGAGAGCATCCGAGCCATGCTCCTTACAAGTCAGCTATGTTAGGCATGATTAAAGAGTTTGTAAGTCCGGAAACAATCTTGATAGCCATCAAATGAATTTTTAGTGATTACAGTGATTTTTACACAATAAGATTTAAAATACGAGTATTAAATTATACAACTAAAGGAAATCTTTTTTTTTTTTTTTTTAAGGAAGAAAAGACAACTATTAAAATAGTTAGAAATTAGTACGGAACTAATTATATCATATGCGTTTCTACTTTAACCCCATATATGAATTATATTTGTGTATTTAAAAAGAATTAGTTTCATTTTAGCGGTAAATTTACTCTTGATTGATGTGTTTTTGCTATATTTACTGTTAATAATATATTCCAATAGCATATAGGCCACTATAGGTAAAAAAATGAAATAATAATGAAGTAAGTTATTAATAGGGATTTGCAAATAAGCTAAGTCAATGTTGAGCCTCAAGCCAGTCAAGCTGCCTGAGCTGCTTTAGTAATACAGGGAGAACTGCATCCAGGTTGAAGCAAATAAGAAATATACAAGGGATAGTGATAGAGGGAAACCTGAAGAAGGACAATAACAGTTAATAAAGACAGAGACAAGCCTAAATATTTCCTTAAATCTATTGCATAATTATTTATTTAATTAAATAAAGGAGAATAGAATATTTGTAGTCTAATATACTTAACTTTCTTTGATTTATAGTTATATATAGTAATAATAGCCTCAATTAAAGATAATTAAATAGATAGGTAAGCCTCAACAAATACCTTCTTTGAAATTTCAATGAAAATATACAACAACACTGTCCATGAAACAGATTACTGTATTAAACAGTATTATTTTACAGTTAACTAGATTAGCCCGGAGTGTTAGAGTTTAATTAGGTTAGAGTTAGAAAACTAAGTCTAAGTAACTATCAATTATCCTAATCTCCTTCTAAATCATATTTTTTTTTTTTTTTTATTTAAGCGCCTTTCACCTTACTATCTATATTAATTAAACAGTATTATTTTACATTTAACTATATTAGCCCGGAGTGTTAGAGTTTAATTAGGTTAGAGTTAGAAAACTAAGTTTAAGTAACTATCAATTATCCTAATCTCCTTCTAAATCATATTTTTTTTTTTTTTTAATTAAGCGCCTTTCACCTTACTATCTATAGTCTATAGAGAATAGTATTAGTATTGTCTGAACTATTCACTCCTATCTTATAAATTAGCCTGCCTTATTCAACCTTATCGAATTAAATTTATAAGTTATAACTTATACTTATTGATTATAAATTATAAAATACTATTAATATTATTATTATTATTGTCATAGATGATTGAAAAAGTAAAAGTTACCCCAACACTGTTGGCAACAGCACACAAACTCACAAACACCTACAAACTAAATACCACTTTGTCTCTTTCGCATTATGCATACATTGCGACACTCTGGCTCAGTGAACACAGAGTAACATGTCATGTGTAATGTTGCATACGTCATGAAATGTGCTTTGCTAGTGCAACTATAATCACACCTGCCATTATTGCATTGTTTACTGGTTTCTATGTAGCCAGGCAAGAGTAGAAGCCTGCGAGTTGAAATCAATAACTAATGTATAACTTATAACATCAAGGGGAATAATAATTTTTTTTAAATTATTGACAATAAAAATTATAAAATACAAATAACTTTTAAGCAGAATGTATTTGATAATATTATTTAAGTATTAATTTAAATAAAAAAATAAAAACACAAAATTTGCGTATTATATATTATATACGTTTTAATAATTATTAACTGGTAGATACATATTTTAAGATTTCAGATAGATTCTTTGACGTTACATTTAAAAGAAAATGGACTGAAAATAACTGTAGTTAATTTTTTTTTACTCCTAACTTAAGCCTCATACATTTTGTTCTAATTTGTTAATTCACCATATTCCTTTATTTTTATTTGCTGCTGTTAATCGCAAATTTAAAAAGAATAAGAAAATAATGAAGGCATTGAATAAGTTTTACCAGGTTAGAAGGTGAATTACTCACATAAACGTAGCGTAAACTGTACATATCAGTTATCCCCCTTTGTCTCTGAAATGAAAACAGGCTCAGTGCATGATTTTAATTTTTGCACACACACAAAAACCGCACTATTGTGTATTAAGTGATAAGTCACAAGAAACGTTTCTTTCACTCAGGTATCTCTCCCGGAGAATGTCAACTACCCCCCACCAGAGGCGTAGCGATGGGGGGCAGGGGGGGGGGGGACAGATGTCCCCGGGCGCAAGCTAGTTAGGGGCGCCAAAATGTGATTTGATATTATATTATTGGTAAAAATAATGGGTTTGAGAGCTGAAAAAAAGAAAAGAGGGTGCTTTAAAATGGATCTTGTCCCCGGGCGCGAATCTTGTCCCCGGGCGCCAAACACCCTCGCTACGCCACTGCCCCCCACCCCTCGGGAAAAAAATTATTTATATAAATTTTTAAAAAACGTAATTGTTATTTCTACAACAATTTTAAAAAGATTAGTAACTGGTGGTTTTAACCAATTACAATTAGCGGAAGCTATGAAATATCACTAACGTTGATATATTTCTTGATCCGTTGTAGAGGTTTACACTGTTTGATTTATAAATATTGAATTGTACTAATTTTATGTTGTGTGAAGTTCGGGAGCAAACTGTGAATTGGGATTGGATGTGTCTATGATAATGTGTACGACAATTAATTGGAAAGAAAATTTAAAATAGGTTATGCTCACTTAAATAATTTAAAGCCTGTAGTTAAATCTATGCCACAAGCTAGTGTCTAACATTGATCGGTATCAATTTGTTTTATTTTTATCACTTTTAAGTCAAAATTATTAGGCTACTCATACCCAATGTTCCCTTTAAGCTGCGCGGCCGCGCAGCAATCTCACAGACGCTGCGCAGCAGTTTTGGGTACCACGCAGCTAATTTCCACTTAAGTGTGTGTTTGTGTCTGTAGACTGAAAATTTTGCGCACAAAAAAAAAATTATGCTGTAAAAATTTGCACACAACTTTATGATTTTGCACACGAACCAACAAACCTTAGAGGGAACATTGCTCATACCATCATTTTGATAATAAAAAATTCGTTGTTTGCAGTGGTAGTGTAGGAAGGGGCGATACGCCTAGGCTAGGGTGACCAAACGTCCCGTAAAAACGGGATTGTCCCGTTTTTTACGATCGTACGCGGTGTCCCTAAAAAATCTCTCGGGACGCCTAAATGTCCCGTTTCTAAAACCAAACACATTTTCAAATCACTAAAACTTCCTAATTTATAGTATAACTTCAAGTACTATTTTGGCTAGCTGTGCAGCCAGTGCAGTAGGGACGTGGGCTTGCCTGATTGCTGCATTTAAATTGTTTGCTTTGTATTATGTTGTAAAATATGTATGAATAAATAACTATTCGCTGCAATATTATTGTTTTCGTTTATGATATGCCTCACAGTTTAAATTAAATTACAAAAGTGAAGGTAAATTTAAAAAGATTTCTAGGTCTCAAAATAGTTGAAATGAGCATATTTCAATAAACAGTTTCCGGCGGAGGCCCCCGGACCCCTCTTTAGCCGGAGGGTATCCCCCCCCCCTTCCTTGCATGTGTCCCGTTTTTTCCATTTCATGATTTGTTCACCCTAGCCTAGGCGGTACTTTTTTCTTTTTAGTCGGGGCGACATTTTTCGACCAACAGTAGAGTTGTTGTTTTTTTCATGGAGAGGGAGCTGGAAAGGGAGCGGCAAATACCCTTGACATGCCTCGGCTGCTTTGACTCCAGCTACGCGTCCTCTGGTCGTTGGTCTATCTAAATCTATGACATGAATGAATGAGACAATTTTTTTTTAATATAAATAATCCGAATTTAATACTGCTGAAACTGAATAAACACAAGTGTTAAAAATTGACAATCCGGAACCGGAGATGCATCGTCCGCCATGATTATCAAATTTTAGCAATTGTGCTACTGAAAAATAAAAGTTAGGATTAATATTTTTAATTTAATCTTGAGCTATGCACATTGTTATGTCGTAAAATAAAATATAACACTGGATTACTGTATGTAAGACAGGATATAAATGCAGAAGCATCCGTCACAGAAGTGAAAGGGAATCTTGTGTTGTCCTAATCTTAGACTAGGACCTGGTTGGTAGACAAAATCTCAGCGCAGCTGCAACTTGTTCTGTTTGTCAACAAATCAGTCCTATTAATAAATAATGACAATCAACATCAGAGCTATAAATTTTTGGTTAATAAAGTAAGTATTATTATACTTATTAAGTCTTAGAGCTACCTAAGTTCAGTTAGTACCTAGGCTAGGCTTAATAATGATGCATAGTAGTAGCAGCAGCAGCATACTAATCACTAAAGTTTCTACTGATGCTATCTAAATCTACGTCTACTTTCACCACTCAGAAAATTTATTGCTAATTTTATTTATTTTTTTGAAAATTAAAATATTCTCTCAGGTTTTTTTTATTTATTGTTGTAACTTGCAGTATCCCTTTTCCCTCTTCCTTTCGGCAAGTTTATGCTACCTGGCTCCAAGCTTTGCCCAGTATTATTAGGTAGGCAGTGTCTACACGTCCGGCGACTGGACAAATAGTCAAATAGTGCAGGATATATTCATCCGGCAGGCATGTCACACTTAATTTACCATTGTCACTCTTTAACCGTTAAGTTTGTTCATTTTATATATATATAGGCTACCAGCAATAATTCTAGTATTTCTTTAGTAGAATTGAACATATTTCTTTTTCATGTAAATGTCAAGTCTATCTTGAATTTGTTGAAATAAGGTAAACTCTGATAGACTATTAGCGGTCACGTGACAAGGCTCACGGACAAATATCTTGCACATTATATCTTGCGCAACTTTGTTAGGGCGGTCATATGACTTGGTCGAAAATATATAATATCCGGAAGAGTGGGGTCACCGGATATGTAGCCACTTCGTACTAGGTATTCGACCACTTCTTTTTACATTCCCTCCATCTTTGTTACAATGGCAGCAAAAATGTCCAAAATGTTCTACCAACACAGTGGAAGAAATGGGGAGGGAAAGGGAGAAAGGTAAATTTACATTCTAAGCGCCACTCATTCCCAGTGTTTTTTGTACTACTTCTTTTCACAATTTAGCTATCTTTGTTGTCATGGCGGCAGACATGTCATGGCAACAAATGGGTCAGCTTTGTTAAAACACAAAGTATTGCAAAAACTTCTTCTAAAATTCGCTATGACTTAATGGTAAATTTGAATAAAAATTATTTTTAAAATATTGAAAATAATGAATACCCAAATTACAGTTTCATCATATACACTTTTACACATTTTATAAATCCAAAAGATATAATAAAAGTCATAATATGTTTTTTAAAATTATCTAATTCTCAGATCGGCAACTTATACCCTTGTTTTGAAATATTGTAATTAATCATGCTATTAAACATTAATTTTAAAAAGCCATCAATCAATATCATCCCATCCACGTATTAATATAAAAAAAGAAAATAGTTAACTCTAGTAACAATCCGCGACTAAATAAATGGGAGCATCATACACAGAAACTCAATGTGTCACAGAATGTGTAAATTGACCAAATAAAAAAATTAAGAGACTGGTTTAAATTTTTAAACTTGCAATATATTTTATCAGTGGCAAACATAGCAACTTAATTGTATCCCTCTAGATATGAGGCAAGAAGTTTGAGAAACCTGCGGTTGCCCGATTTGCTGGCATAATTTCAGCCAGTAAATTAATTTTGTGGTGAACATTGCAACTTTATTGTATCCCTCTAAGTATGCAGCAAGAAGTGTCAACAACCTGCAGTTGCCCTCTTCCTTCAACTAAGCACATGTGCTACCGTAACACAATGTGGTGAGAAAAGCATACAAATTGAAGGAATAATGAAAACCCAACTTACAGTTTCATTAAAAACACTTTTGCACACTTTATTACAAGTTCCAAAAAAAATAAAAGTCCAGAATATGTCAGAAAAGTCAACATCCATTTTTCAAAATTCTCAAAAAAATAGCCTCATATTAAATAAAATATTGTAATTAACCACGCTATGAAATATTAATTTTTTTTAATTCATCAGTTAAAAACATTCCATTGGTGTATTAATATCAAAAAAAGAAAAGTTAACTCTAGTGACTAAACAAGGGGAGTTCGCTCATACACAGAAACTCGGGGTAAACCGTAAAGCTTAAATTGATCCCCATTTTTCTACTGTGTTGGGTACCGGTACTGCATTTTTGTCATGTCTGCTGTCATGACAACAAAGATGGTGGTCATGTCAAAAAAGTATTACCCAACACAGGGAAAAGGGTGGTTCCGGATAGTATAAATTCACCAATAGGCTAAAATTTTAAATTTCAACACTTAGTTAATTATTAAGCCTACAATCTATTTTAATTTGAATTGGCTGAAATTGTCAATGCTGGCAATTTTCATGATCATTGATTCCCTTTGTTAGTAATTAGGGTTAGCATAAAAGGAAATGAGTAAAACAAGGTATGTTCAAACCTGAAAAAAAGGGAATGCAACAAAACAACGGGCGTGTCGACAGGAAGCCTTCATCAGCAAACAAACGACAGAAAAAAACAGGATCAAATTAAAAAATAGCACTTAGCTGAGAAGTAGTATCCGAGAGAGCTGCAAAAGAATTGTGATAATTGACCATACTTTGTTTTACTCTTTTCCTTTTTTCCTTTTGTTTGATTGGAATTGGAAATAGGCTGGTTTTCTGTCATTTATTTCAAATCCTTAAAAAATTAAATTGTAGCCCTGCTACTAAGACAAGGAAGTATTTGTCGGATGTATGCTTGCATTTTGTTGATCCAACAGTTTGGTTTGTTTTATGGTCCCAATATATTAGCTATCAGGAGAAGGTTTAAATTGGAACATTTGGGGTAAATGTGTGGCTGGGGGTATGAGTTTTGCCAAAGACTTGTCTCATCCTAAGTGCCGGGGATGTTACTTTGGGTGATCCAACATTTGACGTAGGACAAATAGTCCAACAAATTGGAGCTGAACATTGGATATGATAACTTTTTTGTTCTTCACAGACCAGTATTCTGTGAAAAACTAAATCCCTGATGGTTGATAAAGTTTATATGGTGAGAGAAAGACTTAATATTTCTCTCTTTTTAAATAATTTACTTTCTAAGAAGTTATTTTTTCTCTTAGTCCAAAATATCTGAAGTACTGGGGAATTTATTAAAGTATTTTTAACATGTTTTAAACGGCAATAAGTCATCAAATTAAGATTATCTTTTTTATATATCCAGATCCAGAAGATGTTGTTTGCTGACTCTGACAATGTAGTCTACCAAAGTTGTCACAATGGGAAGTTAAAACACCTTTAAAAACTCCAAAGCAGCATTAATCACCTATTGGTCACCATGGCAGAGAACGTGGGTCACCATTCTTCGGCTGACAACAAGGGTCATCACTTTGGGTCAAGTCTCCTGGCCAATCCATTCCCTCTCCATGCAAGAGTTGACTCACTTATGAATAAGAATCCAGGCCACAGTCAGCACCATCTACTTAGAGCAGATTTGAGGCATGAGCTGGACATTGTAAACCAAAGCATTGGTGCTTGCATTGATATGAACAATGGTAACAAGCAACGCCTAAGTTCTCAAATCGAACATGAGCATATAAATGAACCTGTGACAAGTGCTGGTGCACCATTTCAAACCGGTGAACCTTTGTCTCTGCTCGCAAGAGCGGAGACGCTGATGAACAAGGCTAGCAGCCATCAGCATATTTTGAGGAGTGAACTAAGGCAGCATGAACTGGACATTGTCAATCAGAGCTTAGGCAATTGCCTGGATGCCAACAGTAAGCAAAGGATGAGTTCCCAGATGGACCTTGACCATGTGAACGAGTCATCTGCCAGCAGTGGTACATCATTTCAGTCAGTAAAGTCTTCATCCATGCTCACAAGAGGTGAAGGGCTCATGAGTAAGAACCCAAACGGTCAGAGCCAGCATCATAGAGGTGAGCTGAGACACGATCTGGATATAGTCAATCAGAATCTGGGGTGTCTGGATGGCAACAGTGGTAACTCTAAGCAGAGGCTCAATTCTCAGATGGAGCATGAACATATCAGTGAGCCCTCAACTAGCGGGGCATCATCCTTCCAGCCTGTGGAACCTTTGTCATTACTGGCAAGGGGAGAATCTTTAATGAATAAAACTAGTCATGGGCAACAGCATATTCTTAGGGGTGAACTGAGGCACGAGCTGGATATTGTCAATCAAAGTTTGGGCAATTGCCTGGACGCCACCAGTAAGCAAAGGATGAGTTCCCAGATGGACCTTGAACATGTGAATGAGTCATCTGCCGGCAGCGGGGCATCATTTCAGTCTGTAAAGTCTTCATCTCTACTTGCAAGAGGGGAATCCCTGATGAATAAGACCCAGACAGGTCAATCTCAACACCACAGGCATGATTTGGATATGGTCAACCAGAATTTGGGTTGTCTAGAGGGTAGCAGCGGTAATTCTAAACAGAGACTCAGTTCTCAAATCGACCATGATCATATCAATGAGCCCTCAACTAGTGGAGGGGGGACAGCTTTTCAGTCGGTTAAACCAAGCCCTTCTCTTGACATGACAGATTATTTCATGTACATCGGGAACAGCAGCAAAATAAATGTTGAGAATCTGTACAGCAACAGGAACAGTGATTTTGTCATCGAGAAGGAGCAGGTCAACAAAAGCGTGGCCACCGACGACGATGAGGGCCTGTACAGCTCTGAGGTTTTCAAAAGTAACATTTCTACCCCTAGTTTACAAGACGACGTCCCCCTTGATAAGATTTATAAATGTGAATTATGCAGCAAAATATTCAGCAACAGCTTTTTCCTGCGGCAGCACACCTTGTTTCATACAGGGGACAAGCAGTTTGTTTGTGGGACCTGTGGTCACAAGTGTTTTTACAAGAGCCAGCTGAAGGAACATGAGCGCACACACACTGGAGAAAAGCCACATAAATGTCATATTTGTGAGACAGGGTTTGCACGCAAGGATGCTCTTAAGAGACATTTGAGATCTCACATGGATGAGAAGCCATACAAATGTGATATCTGTGAAAAGGAGTTCAAGCACAAACCTTACCTGCAGATTCACAAAAAGATCCACACTGGCGAAAGACCGCACAAGTGTGAGATTTGTGAGAAAATGTTTTCACGCATAGAAAGCCTGAAACGTCACAGAATATCCCACATCAAGGAGAAGGCTTATCCATGTAATTATTGTGATAAGAGTTTTAAATGCCTGACCTACCTACACAATCATACCCAGAATCACACAGGGCAGAAGCTTTATGGGTGTGATTTGTGTGAAAAAAAATTCAAATACCCAGCTCTCCTGAAAAAGCATAAAATGAAACACACCGGGGAAAGACCGTTTCGTTGTGATTTGTGCGAAAAGGGATATTTTACAGCCACTGAGCTAAAAATTCACAAGATGAACCATGCTGCAACAGACCCCCCTTTCCAGTGTGAATTTTGTGGCAAAGGATTTCATATGAATGACTTGTTTCAAGCCCACGTCAGAACTCACACAGGTGAACGTCTCAAGTGTCGTTACTGTGACAACACATTCACCCAGCAGTCCAGCCTGCACGCCCATGAGAGGATGCACATGGGGGACAAGCCATACATGTGTCCAACGTGTGGCTTGACCTACACTCAGCTATCTTCCTACAATGCCCACGTCCAGACCCACGTGGGAGAAATGCCGTACAAGTGTGAGCCGTGCGGCAGGCGCTACCAACACTATGCTAGTTACAGATATCATCAAAATGTGTGTGCTTTTTACAATCCCCCAGTAGCCAAACAAAATAATGATCCGTGCTGAGTCCCATTCATATTGTCCCGCGTTCATTTACTTGACCCTAAAATAGGTGCCAGCCATCTCATTCTGCCTCTCCCATCACAGTTTATCAGTTAGCATTTATAAATATTAAAATATCTGATTGCAAAACAAGGGGACAATTAATTTTTCAGAAAAAATCGGTGGTTTGGTTCATCTTCAGACAAATTTTCTTTTAATGAACATTTGCAATTTTAAAAAAAGTGCTTTGTTTCTCTACATCATGTGCAATTTTAATCATTTGAATGACTTTTCAAAATGTGAACACTCCCCTAAAGTTCATATGACACAAAAATTACAACTCTGTTTGCTGTATTGTTGCCAGGAAGATGAGTGGATCAAGAGTTGTGCTACTTGAAGTGTAACAAGAGGCTCAGTATGCATATGTTAGAGTGGATGTATTTCATTGGAACTTGAACATGCAATTATCAAGTAAATTCCTGTATAGCAATAACAATCTTGGAATCTGCAATCTTCCTGTATATTGCATGAGAAAATGCATTTGTGATAAAAAAAAAAATATTTGTGAACTATTAATAATTCATGTTATGTTTCTGTATTTGTAAGCTTTCTTGTAGATGCATCTCTCTTTGTAGTAAATTTCTATTCAAATTGATAAATATTCAAGATTTGTTGTAAATGTCATGTTACTATAGTATGGAAACATGATAATTTTGGTTTATTTTTGTAAACCTTAGAAAGTCATGTTGTGTGTGTATTTATATATATAAATATATATATATTGTATAATGCTTCTATTCCCATGCTGAAACTATAGTGTTCAAACTGTGACAACAGCACACACAAAAATGTAACTATTATTAAGACAGCGTAATTAGAATAAGATAACAAGAAGTGCCATATTCAAAGATTTGTTATAATTCACTTAGTATTAATTTACTATATTGTTTAGATAAGCCCATCAGGCCTCTTGTTGACAGTTAAGCCATGAACTCTCTTTGAACTCCTCAAGGTTGAAGCCATGAACTCTGGAACTTTAAATATTACTACTTATAGGGCAACCAAATTGAGTCATTTTAAATGTGCCATCATTCATAGACAGGGCCTTTCTACCCAAAAGCTGCGGGGGCACTGTTTTACTGATCTTTTCACAATGGGGAAAGGTGGGTTGTTGTTTTTTTAAAGAATGCTCAACCTCAAATTGGAGAAACTATTAATCACTATTAACAAATTACAATTTCAATTAAATATGTCTTAGGTTCAAATTATATTATAATTATACTAAAAAAATTATTTTAAAATTTGTATCAGGTAAAATGCATTTTTTTCTCCAGTTAATAGAGGTCACTGGTAGCTTTGCTCATATAAAATGGGGTCCCGATTCAAAAACATTTGGAAACCCATGATCTGTGGTTTCCAGTCTATTAATTTTAAATAGTTGATAGAATTTTGTAGTTTTATTTTACTTTTAAGTATAAACCTTTCATTTGAATTCTAAAATTCAAACTTTATGGAAATCAATAATTATTATTTGCATGTATAAATTACACACTTGAAACAAATTTTTTAAGAAGTACATTTTAAACTATCAATAAATTGATCGTGGGCCCTTAATATATAGAAAAAGAAGAATTTTTTTTTTTTATTGCTGCAATAAATATTATTTGTACATCATAAGAAAAGAACTTAGGATGTCATCAGAGTTAAAAGGATAGTAAATGAAGGACTGAGTTCAAGCTGTGTGAAGGAAATTGTGGAACGAAGTACCGTATGTGGAAGCTTAAAATGTAAGGACAGGAAGGTTCGGCTAACAGCCTTCCTCAGCAGACAGGACATATGCTTTTTCTGAGTTAAAATTCAGCTTATGGCTAAGTATATAGTCTTGTAAATCTTTTCATTATGTGATAAGAAGAGGAAACATTTTGATAACTTCTTGGTAACTGTATACATTAATCTAATAGTAAGCTGAGAAAATGAAGGCTTCAATATAAAGATTTGCCAGAGCCTCATGCCAACACATAACCAGGTAAATTCTGATCAATTTCTTATTTTCCTTCTGCAGATATCATTGATTTCACCCGCCAGTTTTTTTTTTTAAATTTGAAGATATACTTTACAGATTGTGTAAATGTGTACTTTTTACATGCAATTATGTTTTTTTTCCTAGTAATGATGACTGCTAATAATAATGTCATTCTAAAATTTATCAGCCTGATATCACTTATTCCATGCAATGATTGTACCCACTATAACAAATATACCATTTTGTACATTTTGGTGTTGTGAGTGGTCTAGCTGTAAATATTGGTAATTTTGTTGCATTTTGGTTACGATTTCTGAGAACCACAAACTGAAAATGAACCAACACAGCACATTTATTCATTTTAGCCACACACAAAAAAAACATAGTCTGTGTGAAAGAATTACAAAGCTGATTGTACCGCAGCCATCTCTGCATGAGGTGAACAAAAAAAATTAAAGCGTGAGTGGGATTTTATTAAAGTAGTGGGGGGGGGGGGGGGGGGGGGAACACGACCCTTGTACTGAAGAAAATTCAATGTAAAAGAAGTAAGATGATTTCAAATTAAATTATAAGTGATGGATGAAAGTCCAAAATAAAAATCAGCTGATCAAATGTGTTGAAAAATGCCAGTTTTATTGCCAGGATTATCAATTTTATTTAAATATAGGTATTCTATAGGATACAGTAATTTGATTTTTATGTGTGTATGTAATTGAATAAAATTTCTGCTATGGTTTATTATTTAAAAGATAATGAACTTTTTTTAAATACACAAATACAAGGTTTGTTCTCATTTCTCAATAATAATGAGACTAATTTATACCATTTTGTGTTCATGCATATATTTTAATTAATTATATAAAATAAACCAAAGATTTCTCTACTTCTGCAAATTTTTACTTAAGCTGAAAACCTTAGCTAATTCTAATTCTTGATGCACGTGTAGGTGAGTGTGAAACAAAAGTAATGATTGTTACAACAATTTTTAAAGAAAAGCTAGTCAAAAATTTTAATTGATATCAAATGCTTTTGGCTATGGGCTATGAAAGTGTCAAATTAGGGAGTTTATTTTTCTCTTTCTTCCACTGTGATAATGTATTTTAATGTTTGTGATACATGTTGATCACTTAATTTTCCTATCATTATATTCCTCTTATTTTTATTATTTTTTTTTTAATTGTTTAAGCCCTTTAAATAATTTTTACCAATCATTGCTCATTATTAAAAAAAAAATTCTGATTAGAAAGTTTTTTTCAAAAAAAAACAATATAGTTTGGAAAAAACACTAATATAGCTTTGAATATTTTTCAAATTTACTTATAGAATGTTAATGTCTATCCTATTCACAAATAAACACCTATATGTTGTCTAGTCTGTGAAATACTCTTTTAATTTGTCATTTATTTATTACATGTATCCATCAATAACGGACAATGTGAAACATTGAGAGGAAAAAAATTCACTGTTAAAATGTGTGTTCAGGCATAAATGTCTCCAAGTTAAAAAGGTGGAACATTCAATTACTTTATTGTACAGCATTTTATAATATTATTGCTTAAACTTAACTTGCGTCATTTTTTAAAATGGATTTATGCTATGTAAAGTACACTTAGGATTTCATTTGAAAATGAAATTATCTTCAAATCATATGACTTTTTATTGACAAAAGACTCATTTGCTTTGTGTAATATATATTTATAATTTATATATGTGTGTTTGGAGTCTGAACCACATGTCATAAACAAAAAAAACATTGGACACTTTGCATCATGTAGATTTACACAATGTCTTGCTTTATCCGTTATGTGTAGACAGCTTTGTAAAATAAAATGCAATGAAAATGAATGTTTTAATATTTGTTGTTTTTTTGTTCAAGTACGTAAAAGTTAAATCACAAATTTTGAATTTTTTTTTTTTTTCCCCAACTTGCAGGTATAAATATATTTCATTTTTATTTATTAACTCTTTTTATATCTGCTGAAGAAAATGATTCTTGCTTTGGTAAGTTTTAAGTAAATTTCTCCTTGCTGTTTGCAACAGTTCTCAAGGCAATCAGGTCAATCACTCCCCCACCCTCCAAGCCTCCACCTCTTTTTTTCCTAGTGACCAAACCGGAGCACCAGCTGACCCAGCACAGGTGATAGGACCATAAGTGGCCCTGGCCCACCAAAATGCATCCATATTAACACCTCTGCTGGCCCACTCCCCAATACTTATCTCTTTACCACATCCGTGGGGGTGCGACACTATTATCGACAGCTGTGCCTCTTTATCATTCTCGTATTTCTTCACTAGGCTTTGGAACAGCTCATCTCTTTTTTCCGTCATTTCTTTCAACTTCTCGCAAAGTTTCACATCATGAGTGGCACAGTAGAACCAACATTTGTCTTCTTTGCAGTTGTTGTACCAAACAGTGTATCCATTCAGCCTGACATTTTTCTGGTCCTTAGCAGCACCCCCCTCGCATGTACCCGCTGATGCTTCATCAACTAAACACAGGTCCACTTGAGTGCACTTTGCCTCTTCTGAATCAAAGACAAGGTGATTAGCTGTTGGGACTTCTATTCTGCCCCAGACCATGACAGGCTTGCCTGACCTGATGCACTCAGCACATGGACATGGTTCATCCCCATTGTTGATAAATATTGCTATTCTTCGCACCTGGGGTAAAAAAAGAAAAAGACACCTTTTAGATAATGTAATGAGCAATGGATTGAAAATACAAATCTATGTGTATTGTGTATCTTGGTGGGTAGAAAGCTGACTTATCTATGCCAAGTAGGCTACTTCTTTTTTCAACTTTGAAGTTGAGTTGTCTTTTTTTTTTCGGCTTCCAGGTTGTTGTTTTTTTAAATACTAATGTTTTTTTGCTTTTTTTTTTTTTTTTTTAAAAAAAAAAATTACATCCCTTTGTTTACATATTTTTTTTTAAATTGTTTACCGAAAATTTTACCAAGGGAAATAATATTGAAAAAAAAAAAAATTTTTTTTTTTTTTTTTTTTTTTTTTTTTTTTTTTTTTTTTGGCTTTTCTGTTTTTTTTTTTTTTAATATTATTTTTTTTTTTTTTTTTTTTTTTTTTTTTAACAAAAGAAATTACATCCCTTTGATTACATAGTTATTTCTAAATTGCTTACCGAAAGATTTACCAAGGGACATAATATTGAAAAAAACAAAACAATTATACTTTCATTTAGTTAAAAAATTATGTTTGTTAATTTTAAATTACCCATCCGCTTCCTGCCCTCACACAATTGGTCCCTTTCATTTCATACAGAGGATATGGCTTATCACTCAGGGGGAACACTTTTGGTCTGTCATTACTTATCTTTGTAACAAGCACTCTGACAGTCAAACCTAGAGGGAAATAATATTAAAAACAGCATTTAGTTAATTGGAATGGAGGTGGGGGTGCTGTAGCATGGATATCCTTTTATTTATTTATTTTTTAAGAGATGGAAAAAATTGTACATACAAACAAAACAACTTTTTTTAACAAATTAACATAATTTAGATATAAAAATATATCTATGCATTAATTTTTATTCCAAAAAGCTGTTTAAAATATAATGCTGAGCCCAGTATTAATTACTAACAATCTTGAAAATACTGTATTCTAAATAATATGAGAATACAATAGATGCATATACTCAAAATAGCTGCTAATATTTATTAAATTGACATCACTTGTATCAAGAATAAGTCCTACTTTAATTAATATTTCTCAGTTGGACATCTAATTATAACAGTTTACAACCAAATCTCACTTGCAAATAATCGAATAAAATCTACTATTTCCTGATCTTTTAAACTATTGGGCAGGTGCTCAATGCTAAACTTGGATACTGGAATGAATTTAGAATGTCTAGGGTTTCTCTGGCAGTCAATCTTTAACTGACTGAAGTCACTGCCATCTCTGTAAGATATCTCCATATATTGAGAACCTGTAAATTTTATTTGTAAAATTATTTAAGAACTATCTATATAATATGATTATTTTTAATGTAAAGAAGATAATCAGAATTTATTTTCTTAACATCAGTCAACAAATAATATTTCTGTCCCACATTTTAAAATGTCTGTGGATCAAGCATGTCATAAATAACAAGTTACTGCCACAGGGGCAGTGGCGTCACTGATTGGGTGGGGAATCAAGTTGGTCTGGAATGAAATGGATGTGTGACGCCACACAGCAATGTTCTGCTAAAAAAAATTTAACAACTTGCTCATTACAGATAAACATGATTTATATTTCATTAAGTCTTGGTACGAAAAATTTAACAGTTTTTTAACACTACCAAGGATTTTGTGTGCTCTTGTAAGAGTATTAGATAAGGGTGTGATGCCACTGTATTGTCTGATAATGGATGAAGTCCTTGTGAGAGGAGAGGAGCTACTCCACTTTATGACTGGTATTAGTCGGTTTATTTGGATGAGGGCAGGGGCACTGGCTGGAAAAGAGGGGTGTTGAAGGGGCTGGTACTTTTTGTTTGTTTCATTGTTTGTTTTGTTTTTAATTATTTTTTTTTTTGGTGTTCTCTTCAAATACTATACATTTTATATTTTACATTATATGTATTATTCTGTATGGTATGTTGTAAATCAAAAAGGGGAGGGGTAGGCATAGTCAAGGGTAGGCATAGTCAAGGACCGCCTCGGGTGCCAAAAAACTCTAGCTACACCACTGGGTATTTGTAGCATCAAGGCACTGTGGCATAGCATCGGAATTCATAGACACAGCAAAATGTGAGCAGTGATTAAATGATGCCCTAAAGAAGCATAGAAATAGGTAGAGGCAAACTTGGTCGATTCCCACCCTTTATTATTTACTTGTCTCTGCTTTGTTTAGGCCTCACTGTCAAGACCTTCAATAATGGGACACATAACATGTCAAAATATAAACAAAGTTGCCCGTTAAAATCCCAGATCATTTCACGTGTTTACTTTCTGGACATCAGAATAGATTGACTGTTTAAACACCATGTATAGAGCATGCATTGACTATTAAAACATTAGAATATAATCATACATTGACTATTCACACATTAGAGCAGATCATATTGACTATTCAAACATTAGAGTATTTAGAGCAGCTCATATTGACTATCCAAACATTAGAGCAGATTATATTGACCCTTCACACACTAGAGCAGATCATATTGACCATTCAAACTCAAAACAGACCATAAATTGATTATTCAAACACACCAAAAATGATTAAATCGTGCACAGTACTATTCAAATATCAGAACAAATGTGGAATTTTTAAACTAAGTTAAATTGAAAACAAGAGAGATGGGCCAGAAGAAGAGAAAAGATTAAAACAAAACAATGAGACATTACTTTGTTCAAGAATTTAAATGAGGTTTACCTTCTTTCATTTTGCCTTGCAATAGCGCCATCTGGATTTATTTTTTTACTCTGCCCTGTCTGTCACTGTGAGTGTCAACATGTCAAAATAATGAGTGTATGGTACAGTTATCTCCCCTTTCTGGAAGGAACCCGCTAAATAGACATAATAATATGGGTAAGCTAAAAGAATCTGATGACAGATTGAAATTTGTAGGGCCAGGACTTTTTTTTTTTTATAGTCATTTATCTAAGTTCTACAATTCTATGTATAATCATTTTTTTTCCTCTTTAAAATATCATACCTATCAACACTTCCACATCAGCTGCCTGCCTCATACCAAACTGCACGGTAAACCATACCTATCAACACTTCCACATCAGTTGCCTGCCTCATACCAAACTGCACGGTAAACCATACCTATCAACACTTCCCCATCAGCTGCCTGCCTCATACCAAACTGCACGGTAAACCATACCTATATCAACACTTCCACATCAGTTGCCTGCCTCATACCAAACTGCACGGTAAACCATACCTATATCAACACTTCCACATCAGTTGCCTGCCTCATACCAAACTGCACGGTAAACCATACCTATCAACACTTCCACATCAGCTGCCTGCCTTATACCAAACTGCACGGTAAACCATACCTATCAACACTTCCACATCAGCTGCCTGCCTCATACCAAACTGCACGGTAAACCATACCTATATCAACACTTCCACATCAGTTGCCTGCCTCATACCAAACTGCACGGTAAATCATACCTATCAACACTTCCACATCAGTTGCCTGCCTCATACCAAACTGCACGGTAAACCATACCTATCAACACTTCCACATCAGTTGCCTACCAAACTGCACATTAAACGCATACTTCAAGTTATAGGGAAACTATCAAGCGTCAACATGTCCTAAAAGTGCAGGAACCCCCGTATTAAATGACGCGTAATGAAAACTCGGCCATGTCAGTTCATTGATCAATAATCAATCGCTATAACGGCGGTAAGTGAAGATAATCGATAGGAACCAAGCGCGGGAGAGAAACGTCATTAATAGGACTGATCAGGGTACTGACCCGGATACCCGGAAATGCCGAGTATTAGCACACCCGGAACATACCCTGACCCGGCATATACGGGGTCCGGGTGTTTAAAAAAATTGTTTTTTCTATCATGTGTTCCACGCAGTAGGGGGAAATATAGAACCAGTTCATCTTCTGCACATAATGTGTGTGTACATTTTACCTGAATTAAATAAATAATAGATAACTGACTAGCGATTCGAAATTAAAAAATGTAAGCTAAATTAAACCGCAAAGCTCTGAAAATAATATTCTACTCGGTGCGAATTTTGTGTAATTATTTGTCTTAGCAAGAAGCATATCTTTGGTTATGGCCATGTCTCTCTCTCTATTTACATTTCATTTAAATTTCACATGCTGACTGGCTCAGGGGCGTCTATTCTGGTAGTCGAGCATCGCATCTAATTCGAGAGTTTACTATGTATACTAGTGATACAAAAATATACAGTTAGAAAATTGTTAAAATATTGTTGCCTATTCAATAAAGATATTGGATCGTAAACGATTACGATTTCGCCAACACTAACAGCTTAGTAATTATATAGGTTATATCCCCTGCCCGCTCAGTCCACTTGCTAATTCCGCTTGGGTGGCCGTAAGCCCCCTCGATATCTGTCATACCTCTCCGCGCCCCCCCCCCAATCAAAATGACATTCTCGATACCTTTTTAACTATAAAAAACACACACACAACTGGGACCAAAAGTATACGTTAAGACAGCGGTTCCCAACCTGTGTTAAGCGCACATCTTGGGCGCACGCAAAAGTTATATTGATGATTGCAATAAACTGGGGGGGGGGGGGGGGGGGGAATCATTTTTACACTCCTTCCTTTAGGAGACGTTGTATTTCAATATGGGGTCTAATCAAAGGGTAAGGGAGCGCAAAAAGTTTGGAGCCGCTGCCTTAAGAAGTGCAACAAATTGAATGAATGTATTTTATGTTAAGCGAGGAAAGGGGCGGAGTTACAACGGCCCTGGTCGTCTTTATGCCCAAATTTGGCACTAATAGATACACTGCCCAAAGGCATAGCTAGGGTTAGCGCCGCGAATTGAGGTTTTAGCCATCCCTTCCACAACAATAGTTCTGCAGTTAGCCGAAAATGAAGCCCTTCCATAAAAAGAAGTAGAAAAGGACAATATGGGGAGGGGGGGGGTTGTTAATCCACAGGCATTGACCACCCGAACATCTGAATTGCCAACCCCCCCCCCCCCCCCCGGATCAAAATTATTGAAAGAAACACTGCAAGCCATTCCATCCAAAGTTGTCAAAGGTCGATGAAGGGATAGTGACTTAAACCCAACAGAGGCTAGGATTGTTTCGTTATGACGATGATACCACTGTCTATTAAATAATACGTTGATGTCAGAAAAATGAACGCCGCTACCTAACCAGCAACCAACAACACTAACGCATATTATAGCTGAGCTCCGTCCCATGATTGATTTTTTGTTATCTACCGGGAGTTATGGCAGTGGCTCTCAACCTGTGGGTCACGAACTCCCTCAGGGGGTAGCCTGACAAAATGTCAGGGGGTCTCTTGAGAATTTCATAAATTGAGGTTTGGGGGGGGGGGGGTGTATGAAATGTGATTTGTTCTTATTTCAGTGGACAATACAGGTCCGGGGGGCCCACTGTACAAAGTAACCGGGAGTTATGGCAGTGGCTCTCAACCTGTGGGTCACGAACTCGCTCAGGGGGTAGCCTGACAAAATGTCAGGGGGTCTCTTGAGAATTTCATAAATTGAGGTTTGGGGGGTGGGGTGTATGAAATGTGATTTGTTCTTATTTCAGTGGACAATACAGGTCCGGGGGGCCCACTGTACAAAGTTGGCACGGCCCTTAATTTCAACTATTGACTCTTAACATTTGATACCGTAATGTCTATACTAGGAAACGATTAATTCTTTCATCTTTAAGTCAATTGGCAATCCAAAGTGTCGGCTGGCTTATTAACTGTTACTAATGGATTGCTAAGATTAGTATCAATATTCAGGCGTGTGTGAGATTTGGTCGCATGGCTGCCGGGGGGGGGGGGGGGGGAGATTCTTCTGACGTCATCATCATGCCATCCCAGTTCGAAAAAATAATTAAACTTTAAAAAGTAATGGTAGTCCAGGATTTCTCAAATTTATTCAGTGTCAATGACCAGCTGTAGTTTATCCACACTGCACTACCAGGGACCAGTTGTGTATTTTACTAGCTTTTTTTTTTTTTAAATCTTGAATTTTTCACCTCATGCGAACCAAGTGACTTGACTGGCTGGGATCTTGTGGACCAATCCACGGACCATCATTTTGAGAAGCCCTGATCTAGACAGGCATTCATAATCCTATAAATTCTCTTCAAGTGCCACATACTTCAAATAATATATGTGTACTATTTACACATTGAAATTCAAATTCATGTAGAAGTAGAATGCATAGGCCTACAGATTTGTCTTCCCTGATAAGTTATACTCCAACCCATCACTAACGACCTACTGCTACTATGACTGATGCCAATTACAGAAATATAATGGCAATGGGCCAGGAGTTCAAAAACAGTAACCCAACCTGTTTCTGTGTTGTACTAATTAAATACTAGCAGATTAATATGTCTTTGATGGGGCAGGAGCTCAACAGTAGTTACCCAAAATGTCATTATAAGCTTCAATACTAATAATAATTCAACTCTACCTAACAGTACAGTTAGTTAATACTTAAAACAGGGGAAACAACAACACATAAATAAAGCACAAACATTTAATAAACCTATACTTTGAGGAGGAGAGTTTTATTAGGTTATTATAAGGTGGTCAAAAGTTAAGTTGGTTGCACTCAGAGGGTGATACTTTGGGTAACAAGTATAAAAAAACTAACAGAAACAAATTTAGGAAAATTTGAGGTCAGACACTGCAACAAATTAAAGTTAACAACTGAGAACAAAAGTATATATCTAAATTTTATTGCCGGCTTCACACAACCACTGGTATGGTAATATCTAATGTTTCATGTCTCACTATGAAAAATATGAGGCCCACCAAAATTTTTTCCTTAGCTCCAAATCCAGTCTCTTTTTGGCCTGAACACATCCCTTGCAGATGGGTCGAGAATGAGTCAGATTGGTGAGTAAGTTGATACATTACTGGTAACTTTTGTAACGGTAGCATTGTGAAGATTGCTTATGGCTATGTCCCAATCATGGCTCACTTTTATTTGGGATGCTCTGTTCTCTATCATTTCTATGGCCTGCTTGAAATTATTTTCAAGGCACATACCAGAATTCGGTGCCCCTGGTTTTGGTCAGTAGTGACATGGCATTTATAAACTGAAACCAAAACAGAGGAGTGATAGCATTTTTTGAAAATAAAAAAAAACTACTTTATTAAAAATACAAATCTTAAAAGCTAAAACTTTAAAAAAATGTAATTTTAATTTAAAACTTTGAAATAATTGGTCCCGTATCACACCCCACATCCCCATCTTTGCTTCAATTATCCCAAATAGGACTTCCCATAAAAGACAGAGGAAGAGATGGGAATGTGTATAGAAATAGAAAGCAAATTTTCAGAAGGGGTACATAGGATGAGAGCTGTGACCAAATCCACACATCATCTCAACGCCTACATTATCTTACCTTACAGTACAGTAAATATTTTAAGATTTTAGTTTTGTTGGGTTTAATTTGATAGATATTAAAAAATTAAGCTAAAATTGTTTCAGCTGCAAGCTTCAATGTGCTCAGACTTTAGCAGTATTATTTGATGGACTGTGAAGTCCTTAAGTGCAATATTTGGTGACTTCTGATTCCCATATTTAAATCTACTCATCCGTAAACATATATGTCCTAAAATGGGTAGATATAATTAATTAAGAATTAAAGTGTATATGTTATGGTTAAAATCAAGACCATTTAGAGTGGAAGTCCCTAATTTAGGGGGCACTTAAAAATGTTTTTATGATTCAATCCAAATGTTTCAGATCTCAAGCTTCTTTAAATGCATCGCTGATTTAGTAAATCTTGTTGGTACAAATCATAGACTGATTTGTGCAAGTTAAGTCTAAATAAATTATTGCACAGTCAAGATTAACCTGAATATCATGTTACAACATGTTTAAAGTCATCTTTATAGAAACAAAATATATGTTTAAAAATATTACCTTCATCAATTCAAACACACTGTTTAGTTCAGTTAATTCTTTTTGACCAGTTTCCTGCACTGGCATGCCGTGGTTGTTGTCAGGCGTCAGTAGGGCATCTTCATTGGCAGCCATTAAAAATTAAGTCCCCTTCATACAAATCATTCCTACTAATTATTCAACTTGAGCTTCAAAAGAAACCTGAAAGTAAGA